TACCACCCCACCTCGCGCCGGGTCTTTGCCTCTGAGGACGTCACGTTTGACGAGTCGGTCCCCTTCTACCGTCTCTTCCCCTACCGCACTGCCCCGCTCCCCCCCCCCGCCGCTCTTCCTCACGCCAGGTGCTGCTTTGGTAGACCCCCTGCCTCCCAAGGGTCCTGCTCCCTCACGTGTTTCCCAGGTAGACCCGGTCGAGCCTGTCGAGGTAGCTGTCGACTCTGGTCCTCCGCGAGGTACTGAGCGTGCTGCGCCTGAGTGTGCTGAGCCTGGTGGTGCTGGGTCTGGGGGTACTGAGACTTGGGGTGCTGAGCCTGGGGGTGTGGAGACTGGGGGTGCTGAGCCTGGGGGTGCGGAGTCTGGCGGTGCTGAGCCTGGGGGTGCGGAGACTGCGGGTGCTGAGCCTGGGGGTGCAGAGACTGCGGGTGCTGAGCCTGGGGGTGCAGAGCCTGCGGGTGCTGAGCCTGGGGGAGCTGTCCCTGGGGCTGCTGAGTGAAGAGGTCCTGAGCCTGGGGGTACTACGCCTGTGGGCGCTCTCTCTTCCCAGCAGCTGCGTGAGTGGTACTCTCGGTACTGTTGCCGCCTCCGTGGTGCTACTGGAGCTGGAGCTGAGGGCGCTGTGCCTACTGGAGGTGGTGTTGTTGCTGACCCTGGGGTCGGCACTGGAGGTACTGGAGCCACTGGTCGTGGAGGTGCTCGTACTGGCGGTACTGGAGCTGCTAGGACTGGGGGTGCTGGTGGAGGTGCTGCTAGTGCTGCTGGAGGTACTGGAGCTGCTGGTGCTACTGGAGGTGTTGGAGGTGTTGGTGGTGCTGCACGAGTTGGAGCTGCTGCTGGAGGTTCTGGTGCTGTCTCTACTGGTTCTGAGGGCACTGCACGGCCGCGACCGTACTTCGTTCCACTCCTCCAGCAGGTTCTTGGTCAGTCGCCTCCTCCTTTTCATGCTCCCTCCTTAAAGTGTCCTCCGCCTGTCCAGTCATAGTCACAGCTACCGCCTGCCTCGCCACTTCCTGGTCCTTCTCCTTACACTGGTCCGACAGGCGGTCTTACAGAGCGTTGTGAGCCTGAGTCTTGTTCTGTGTCGCCTGCGTCTCATCCTGTGTCACCAATTCGTGCTGCTCGCACTGGTTGCCGTGGTCCGCGTCAGTGTCCTCCGCCTGTCCTTGGCACACACTATATGAGTCTGCGTCCTTCCACTGCTCCACAGCGTGTCCCTCTGCCGTCTCCTCTTGCGTCCTCTCTTTCTATCCTTGCTGACCCGGAGTCTGACTCTCTTCGTTCTGCCAGTCCTACTGTCACGCGTCTCCTGGCCACTGCTGTCACTGACCCTTCCTTTGAGTCTGCTGCTGCGTCTGCCCTAGTTGCCGAGCTTGTCGACTTTGCTGTTCGCTGTCGTCTAGACTACACCGCCAGTCTTGTTGCTGAGTCTGAGTCTGTCTGTCCTCCGTCCGTCGGGGTAAGTGTGCTCTAGGCACGGACGTCCTTGAGGACAAATAGGAGGACCTTGAGTGTCTTGCAGCCGCTGCGCCTCATCTCGTGTCCATGCTGCTTGCCCCTGAGGGAGACCCGGATGCTCCAGACATCCCGACCCCGCGCTCTTACGCTGAGGCGATCGCGAGTGAGTACTCCTCTCAGTGGCAGTCAGCCATGGACACAGAGATGGCATCCTGGAAGTCCACTGGCATTTACGTCGACGAGGTTCCCCCTCCTGGGGCGAACATCGTCAGTGGCATGTGGATTTTCAGGGTGAAGCGGCCGCCAGGTTCTCCGCCTGTCTTCAAGGCTCGTTACGTTGCTCGAGGCTTCAATCAGCGAAAGGGAGTAGACTTCTTTCAAACCTTCTCCCCCACCCCGAAGATGACCACTCTTCGGGTGCTACTGCACGTTGCCGCTCAGCGTGACTACGAGCTTCACTCTCTTGACTTCAGCACAGCTTTCTTGCAGGGCAGCCTGCACGAGGAGATCTGGCTGCGCCGCCCTCCTGGCTTCACTGAGTCGTTTCCCCCTGGTACCCAGTGGAGCCTCCGGCGGCCGGTCTACGGTCTCCGCCAGGCGCCACGTGAGTGGCACGACACACTGAGGACTACTCTTGCAGCTCTTAGGTTCGCGCCTTCTACTGCTGACCCACCGCTGTTTCTGCGCCCCGACACGTTGCTGCCGCCGTTCTACATCCTCGTGTACGTCGACGACTTGGTCTTTGCCACTGCTGACACTGAGGCTCTTGCCCACGTGAAGTCTGAGCTGCAGAAGAGACACACGTGCAGAGACCTGGGTGAACTGCGCAGCTACCTTGGCTTGCAGATCACCCGGGACAGAGCACGCCGCACCATCACACTGACTCAGTCACACATGGTGCAGCAGGTCCTTCAGCGCTTCGGCTTCACCTGGTCCTTAGCACGGGCCACTCCTCTGGCTACAGGTCACTCGCTCTCAGCTCTGCCTTCGGATGAGTCCGTAGAGCCGAGTGGTCCTTACCCAGAGCTAGTTGGCTGCCTCATGTACCTGATGACGTGCACTCGTCCTGACCTTGTGTACCCTCTTGGCCTTCTGGCCCGCTACGTGGCTCCTGGTAGGCAACGAAAGGTGCACAGGGATGCTGCAAAGAGGGTATTGCGCTACTTGTGCAGTACATCAGGCATGGGGCTCGTGCTTGGAGGGAGGAGCTGAGTTGTTCTCACTGGGCACTTAGACGCTTCTTGGGTTGACGACCAAACTACTCAGCGGTCGTCACTGGGTTACACCTTCAGCCTTGGCTCTGGCTCAGTTTCCTGGCGTTCTACACGTTCGTCTTCAGTTCTCAGCTCCACTTGTGAGGCTGAGATCTACGCCACAGCCATGGCTGCACAGGAGTTACGCTGGCTCACCTACCTACTGACCGACTTGGGAGAGCGGCCTCGTTCTCCTTCACTTCTGTACGTCGACAACAAGGCTGCCATTGCCTTGTGTGAGGAGCACAGAACGAAGCACATCGCTCTACGTTCCTTCCTGGCTCGAGAGTTGCAGCAGCGTGGCCAGCTTCGTCTGCGTTGTGTGGCCACTCAGGCCAACATTGCTGATATATTCACCGAGGCACTTGTGTCTGATGATCATCAGCGTTTCTGTACTTTGTTAGGGCTTGTGCCCACTTTTCCTCACTTGATGTAGGCTTTGCTTGTACTGTGATCTATATAGATATATATATATACCTGCATGTTTGCACTGCTAGATAGAGATCACTGTGCTGTTTGTGTTGCATATATGCCTCTGCATGAGAACTGGCCTTGTGGCCCTTTGCTTGTGCTCAGAGTGTGTGGTGACTTTTTGATCCACCCTGAGCTTGCTTTACCTTTCTTGACTGGTCTTGTGACCCCCTTTGCTCTCCCCCACTTTGCCTATGGGGGTGTGTCAAACATTATATATGTTTTTGTTCTGTAGGCTATAGTGGGTTTAGCCTTAGGGGGTACACAATTCTAGGTTTTTCTACTTGTACTCTCAATCTTCCTATAGCAATCACTCCTTCTCATTCTAACAGCAGAAAATAATGCTAGATTGTTTCCGATTGGTTCGAGTTCCATCCACCGCAGATTTCAGCCAAGCCACACACACGAAACTGAGTATATTCAACACCCAACCCCCTTTCCCTTCATTCATTCCTTAGCCTCCAGAACCCTAGTTTAGTTTTTCTCTCATCTGTTTCACCTGCCAGACCACGCTCCTGCTGTGTTCTTACCTTAGGAATCTGCAATTCTTGTTGTGTTACCGTCGATTTCATCTCGTTTGCTTATGCCTTAACGCATGTCGAAGGGCGATATGGACGTGCCGATACGGCTTGGCGATATGGTTGTGCTGATATGGGCGTGGGCGTGCTTGCTGCGGCAGCGTTGTAACTTCAGTAAGTGTCGCTTTTGTTTCTGTTGTTTGTTTTTCTAACACTAACGGTGGTATATGTTGCTGGTTTCTATTGCTTGTCCTCCAGTCCACGAAACGCCGAATATATGCGTCGTGTTTCGGCAGGCTAGAACTTTACCGTGCATAATGCACTATTTCTGTCGTCAGTTTTGTGCCCGTTAGTAACAAAACTTGAGTGTGTCACGGTTTTGCAGGCGTAACGCTTTCGAATGCTCTGTATAGTTCGAGGCTATTATCTCGTCGGTCCTACTTATTTTATCGTGGGAATTACTTAGTGGTAAGCAATTGGGCTTTTTTTCCCCTAAAATGTTGATTCTTGTTCTGCAGGGAAGGGCTTACGCTTCTTGTTGCCAGGATCGCTCACCCAGTAGGGTCGCTACTGGTGAAGGCCAAACGTACGAAGTGTTTTTAGCAAGTCTTTCCTGAAATTTTGTGTATTAGTCCTTTTTCTTATAATAATGTTATCCTCAACACAAACGAGCACAACGTGGCCTGGAAAAGTCTAATCGAATACGTGCAAAATGACCTGCGGTGTGCTTTGTACCTACTTCATGCTAGGGTACATAGTGTATACATTGTGTATACTAATTCACCCTGTTTAGATAGCCATCTCATGCGTGTGTAGGGTGGAGCTAGAGTGCGCACATTGTGGGGACTTCCCTGTACCCATTGTCGGGATGAAGTACGGACAGAGTGGCTACTGCACCCCTGGTGTCGAAGTAGGTGGTATGTAGGAGAACATGTACACACATTGTATTTGTACACTTTGTAAAAACAGTGTATATTGGTTGTAGACGGGGTGTAGGTACATTGTCCAATCGAACCCAATGTTTGGGATGCAGCATCAACGTCATGTAAATTGCAAGTAATTATGGTCGTCACTTCAGCACTCCCGTGGTTTTGACACAATCATTTTCCATTTATTCTCTCGCCGGCGGCTATGAACTCACGAAGCTTACAGCACCGAGTCTTGATTACAGATGACGCATGCGATCAGCGCCAGGATTTTCCCGTGTGCTGGCAATCGCGCATCGCAAATCTATCTGCTTTTCAAGGACTTTCGCATCGCATCCAAAGCTTTGACATTTTTAGCTCCCGTCAATGACCTGATGCCACGTGTCCCCCGCAGGCTGCGCCACCGTGGACCCGACTGGAGCGTACACACGTTCGGCAATAACTTCCTCGCGCACGAACGGCTAGCCGACATCGACCCGGCGTCCGGCCACCGGCCGTTACGCAAAGAGGACGGCAACATCGTGGTGGCCGTCAACGGCGAGATCTACAACTACCAGCAGCTGAGGGACGAGCTGCAGCATCGCCACACGTTCAACACTGGCAGCGATTGCGAAGTCATCGCGCGTCTCGTAAGCCCGACGATTCGTCGCGCGGATTTTGCGCCGCGTCTCGTGCGTACACTGATATGATGGGATGAGCGACTAATCTGGTCTTGGTTCGGACCACCTTATTGCTCATAGTAAGCTATTTCATTCTTACTGCTCGTTTGCAAATTGGCTTTCATTTTATTCGTTTGCTCGTTTTGAACATCCTCGTTATTACACTTTTCCACTCCTTCAATTTATCTATCCGTATGATCGTCTCTTACGATGATTTCGGAAACGAGGCTGACATTGTGCATGTATGAGGCTCCCTTCCCGGTAGCTTGTCCGTTAGACGGGCACGTCGTGCTTCCCTGTAGCTTGTCAGGTCACTTATTTCTTCACCGCCCTTCTCCAGTATGAAGACGTGGGCGTTGCGGTGGTTCAGAAGCTGGACGGAATCTTCGCGTTCGTGCTGCTCAACACAAAGGACGGCTCGTACATCGCGGTGCGGGATCCCATCGGCGTGTGTCCGCTTTACATCGGCTGGGGTCGTGACGGCTCCCTGTGGTTCGCCTCTGAAATGAAGGCTGTTAAAGACGACTGCGAGCAATTCGAGACGTTCCCGCCGGGCAGTGTCTCCTCCAGCAAAGCCAGTGAGTCTTTTGCTTCAAGCTGAATTCGATTTGTTTCCCCTGAAATTTCTCCTGTTTTTGTCATTACTTTTCTGTTCCTTTTCTTACATCTCCTGAACTCCTGCGTTTCTGTTCTTGTCTGCCAGAAATGCCCCGTCGCTGGTACAACCCCGCGTGGTACGACGAGCACATCCCCTCGGCGCGGTACGATCCGCTCGTCCCTTGTGGGCAATAATTCACTCCGCTCTTCCTGTGATTCCCATGATCATACCTTCTCATCAGACATGCCCCGTCGCTGGTACAGCCCCGCGTGGTACGACGAGCACATCCCCTCAGCGCCGTACGATCCGATCGCGCTGCGCGCCGCGTTTGAGAAGGCCGTCGTGAAGCGGCTGATGACGGACGTGCCGTTCGGCGTGCTTCTATCGGGGGGCCTCGACTCATCGCTCGTCGCCGCCGTCGCGCAGAGCCATTTGGGGGAGCAGTGGGGGCCGCAACTCCACTCCTACTGCATTGGCCTCGAGGTGCGTCGGGTCGGGACTGAAATTCTGAGTGATTGGGGTACGTTAGCTTTACCAGACGTGCCGTTCGGCGTGCTTCTATCGGGGGGCCTCGACTCATCACTCCTCGCCACCGTCGCGCAGCTCCATTTGGAAAATCAGTGGGGCCCTCAGCTCCACTCCTACTGCATCGGCCTTGAGGTGCGTTGCCCTTACTAACTATCATTGCGCGCCGAGTAAGCAGGGGGCCTCGACTCGTCGCTCCTCGCCGCCGTCGTGCAGCTCCATTTGGCTCCATTTGGTTGCATTGCATCTTATGGAACCAAAGAATCTATATGTTTGTTCCAAGAATCTATCCTTATTCTTCCTAGTTTTCTAACTTTCCCCTTATCGACTACCATCTTCCCACTTCTTTGTTTTTTTCCAATCTCCAGGACGCCCCTGACCTGCGGGCAGCGAGAGAAGTCGCGGATTTCATCGGCACAAACCACCACGAGCTACACTTCACTGTACAAGAGGGCATAGACGCGGTTTCCGAAGTGATTTACCACACGGAAACCTTCGACGTCGCCACAATCCGCGCCAGCACGCCCATGTTTCTGCTGAGCCGCAAGATTAAGGCGCTGGGGGTGAAGATGGTGCTATCTGGGGAAGGTAGCGACGAGGTGTTTGGGGGTTACCTGTACTTTCACAAGGCGCCCAGCAAGGAGGACTTTCACCGGGAGACATGTCATAAGGTGGGGGAAAATGTGCGGGTGTGTGTGGGACTGTGTGTGGGACTGTGTGTGGGACGGTGTGTGGGACTGTGTGTGGGACTGTGTGTATGGGACTGTGTGTCTGGGACTGTGTGTGTGGGACTGTGTGTGTGGGACTGTGTGTGTGTGTGCCTCTGTGTGTGCCTCTGTGTGTCGACCCATTTCCTTCTCCCTTTATTTCACACTTTATCCATTGTCTGTTCCCGTGCTCAAACCAACCGCCAAAATACTCTCCATCCCTTCACCGTTCTCAACCCAACCCCATCCCTCTAATCAGCTCAGGCTCTCCATATGTACGATTGCCTTCACCCCTCTCCCCTCTTTCCACCCTCCTGGACCCCACCCTCACCCCCACCCCACCCTCCTGCACCCCACTCCACCCCCACCCCACCCTCCTGCACCCCACCCTCACCCCCACCCCAACTTTATCCCCATCCTCCAATCATCCCTTCAACACTCTCCCTCTTACCCTTGCCCTGACCCGATCCTCTCTCACCCCAACACCATCCCTCCAATCAGCTCAAGGCACTTCACATGTATGATTGCGTGAGGGCCAAGAAGGCCACGTCAGCATGGGGGCTGGAGGTGCGGGTACCCTTTCTGGATAAGGAGTCCCTTGACGTGGCAATGAGCATTGATCCTCAGTATAAGATGATTCGCAAAAGGGACAGGCGCATTGGGAAGTGGGTCATTTGACGGGCTTTTGACGACGAGGAGAGGCCTTACCTACCCAAGGTAACTAATGAGTCGGACTGAAAGATAAGAGATTTTTGAGTTAGGCTCTGAAATAGGTCGATTTCGTTTTTGTTTTGTTTTGTTTTTTCCTTTGTTTGCTTTTTTTTTTTTTTTTTTTTTTTTTTGGCAAGCTTTAACAGAAGATACATCTCTTCTGTTTCACTCTTTCGATCCAAGTCTCTTCTCTCCCCTTCTTCTCAACACCTTCTCCCCTCCTCTTCTGCTCTCACCTCCTCCGTTTCCTTTTTCTTCCCTTACTCCCAACCTATCCCCCTTATCAGCACATCCTCTACCGCCAAAAGGAGCAGTTTTCCGATGGGGTGGGGTACAGCTGGATAGACGGGCTCAAGGCGCATGCAGAGCGGATGGTGTCGGACCAGGTGATGGCCAACGCTCCCAACGTCTTCACGTACCTCCCGCCCCAGACTTAGGAGGCGCTCTTTTACCGCCGCATCTTTGAGAAGCACTTCCCCCAGGTGAGACTCTTCACATACAGGGATACATACCCCCCCCCCCCCCAGGTGTGTGAGGGCCTCCGCCAGTCCTCTGCTCTCCGCTCTCTCAGTGCGCATGCAGAGCGTATGGTGTCGGACCAAATGATGGCCAACGCTTCTGACCTCTTCATGTACCTCCCGCCTAAGACGAAAGAAGCGCTGGTTTACCGGCGCATCTTTGAAAAGCACTTCCCACAGCTGAGGCTCTTCAAACCTCTCCACTCCTCTTCACATACCTCCCGACCAAGACCAAGGAGGCGCTGTTCTACCGCCGCATATTTGAAAAGCACTTTCCACAGGTATGTATGAGGGTTTTCCTGTAGTTGCCTGGTGACTTTTGAGTCGACTCAAAAGCCACAGGTATGTGTGAGGGTTTTTCCTGTACTTGCCTGTTTCCCACGCCTCTTCACACCGCTCCTAACCCCTTCACATACAACCCGCCCAAGACCAAGGAGGCGCTGTTCTACCGGCGCATCTTTGAAAGGCACTTCCCACAGGTGAGGCTCTTCAAACCTCTCCACTCCTCTTCACACCTCTTCACATACAACCCGCCCAAGACCAAGGAGGCGCTGTTCTACCGGCGCATCTTTGAAAGGCACTTCCCACAGGTGAGGCTCTTCAAACCTCTCCACTCCTCTTCACACCTCTTCACATACAACCCGCCCCAGACCAAGGAGGCGCATCTTTGAAAGGCACTTCCCACAGGTGAGGCTCTTCAAACCTCTCCACTCCTCTTCACACCTCTTCACATACAACCCGCCCCAGACCAAGGAGGCGCATCTTTGAAAGGCACTTCCCACAGGTGAGGCTTCACATACAGAAGTGACTGTCCCTGGAGGCTCCTGCAACGCCTGTAGCACAGCAGTCGCTGTAGCGCCTAAACTCCCTCCCTTCCCCCTTTCTCCCATCCCCACTTCTCTCCCCCTTTCTGCTACAGCGCTCTGCTTGTCTGACTGTCCCTGGAGGTCCCAGCGTCGCCGTAGCACGGCGGCAGGTGTAGCGTGGGATGCTGCCTTGCAGAATTTTTCTAATCATTCTCGCTCCCCCTTCCCCCCACCCCTCCTTTCGTCTCCCTTTCTGCTACAGCGCTCTGCTCGTCTGACTGTCCCTGGAGGTCCCAGTGTCGCCTGTAGCACGGCAGTGGCCATAGCGCCTAAACTACCTCCCTTCCCCCTTTCTCCCATCCCCACTTCTCTCCTCCTTTCTGCTACTGCGCTCTGCTCGTCTGACTGTCCCTGGAGGTCCCAGCGTCGCCCGTAGCACGGCGGCAGGTGTAGCGTGGGATGCTGCCTTGCAGAAATTTTCTAATCATTCTTGCTCCCCCTTCCCCCCACCCCTCCTTTCGTCTCCCTTTCTGCTACAGCGCTCTGCTCGTCTGACTGTCCCTGGAGGTCCCAGTGTCGCCTGTAGCACGGCAGCGGCCATAGCGCCTAAACTACCTCCCTTCCCCCTTTCTCCCATCCCCACTTCTCTCCTCCTTTCTGCTACAGCGCTCTGCTCGTCTGACTGTCCCTGGAGGTCCCAGTGTCGCCTGTAGCACGGCAGCGGCCATAGCGCCTAAACTCCCTCCCTTCCCCCTTTCTCCCATCCCCACTTCTCTCCTCCTTTCTGCTACAGCGCTCTGCTCGTCTGACTGTCCCTGCAGGTCCCAGTGTTGCCTGTAGCACGGCGGCAGGTGCAGCATGGGATGCTGCCTGGCAGGACAACCTGGACCCCTCTGGCCGTGCTGCTCTGGGTGTGCATGCTGCTGCTTTTGAAACCCGAGGTCCATAGCTTCCAAAGGTAGGAGGGTTGGTTGGGGCAAAGGACGTAAGTGGCAGGTGCAGCGTGGGATGCTGCCTGGCTAGACAGCATGGACCCCTCTGGCCGTGCTGCTCTGGGCGTGCATGCTGCTGCTTATAACGAGGATGCAGTTTGAGTCGACTCAAGAGTCAACTTAGCACGGCAGCAGGTGCAGCATTGGATGCTGCCTGGCAATGGCAAGGGAACATTGACCCCTCTGGCCGTGCTGCTCTGGCCGTTCACGATAGTTACCGGTATATGCTTAGTTACTGGTAAATGCTTAGTTACCGGTAACTACTATGAACTCTCCTTGCAAATTCTCTTTCTTGGGGCTAATGACTGCTGGTTGACGAAGGAGTTGAGCAGAAATTGCGCAGCAAGAGAACATATTCATACAAATTCTCCCTGGCAATGTCCGCAGTCCATCACTCAGATTTCACTCATAGAGATTACTCAGCCTCACTCAGAATTTACTCAGCCTCACTCATAGGCTCTACTCAGCCTTACATTACATCCTCACTCATGATTTACTCAGCAGCAAAGACCAGGTGTCAGAAACGAGAGGCGATCTCTCTGAGATCCGTCCTGCCTTACATCCTCGGCTCCCTTCCCAAGTTCCCATGCTTTCCGCGCTGTACGACCTGCCTTGACTCTTATTGTTGCGCAAAACTCCAGCATATGGGGCGTGAAAGACGGAGAAGCAGGAGGGAGTATAGATGGTTCCGGGTCTGACACATGGCTGCATATGATTGGTCAGCCACAGGCCCAGTTCCTGCTATGATACAAGATTTTCTGGTGTATTTATAGTATTTGCTAGACCCAGCTTTTGGGTTGTTGAAGTGGTTGTGATACTTTCTATGTAAAGCCCTGTATAGGAAACCATAACATATTCGCTGTCAGATCTCTTCGATAACCTTACGGCACGGTACATTTTAGCAACATACTGAATACAGCGTATAACGCTATTTCAAATGTTTTTTTAGTAGGTTGTATAGACCTAAGGATGTTACAACTTCTACACCCAGCAACTCTTGCAGTTCTCCATCCACTCTGTATTGAGCCAGCCGCCCTCCTCCCTCCACCTTCTCCCCCTGCTCCTTAATTCGCTGCCACACCTGCTGACCCGCCTCCTTGAGAGTTATGCTGTCACGCTACAGGAAAAGTAGAGGGAGGGGGTACCGTATATGGATGATGGATGGATCAGATTGTAGGGCAGATAAATTGATGGATGATGGATGGGCAAACAGAGAGTGACGATGGATGGATGATGGATGGATGGATGATGGATGGGAGCACATAGAGAGTGACGATGGATGAATGATGGATGAATGGATGGATGGATGGATGGATGGATGGATGGATGGATGGATGGATGGATGGATGGATGGATGGATGGATGGATGGATGGATGGATGGATGGATGGATGGATGGATGGATGGATGGATGGATGGATGGATGGATGGATGGATGGATGGATGGATGGATGGATGGATGGATGGATGGATGGATGCATGGATGCATGGATGCATGGATGGATGGATGGATGGATGGATGGATGGATGGATGGATGGATGGATGGATGGATGGATGGATGGATGGATGGATGGATGGATGGATGGATGGATGGATGGATGGATGGATGGATGGATGGATGGATGGATGGATGGATGGATGGATGGATGGATGGATGGATGGATGGATGGATGGATAGGTGCACATAGAGAGTGACGATGGATGGATGATGGATGGATGGATGGATGATGGATGGATGGATGGATGGATAGGTGCACATAGAGAGTGACGATGGATGGATGGATGGATGATGGATGATGGATGGGAGCACAAAGAGTGATGATGGATGGATGATGGATGGATGGATGATGGATGGATGGATGGATGGATGGATGGATGGATGGATGGATGGATGGATGGATGGATGGATGGATGGATGGATGGATGGATGGATGGATGGATGGATGGATGGATGGATGGATGGATGGATGGATGGATGGATGGATGGATGGATGGATGGATGGATGACGAACGGGTGCACATAGAGAGTGATGATGGATGAAATGTACGGCATGCATCCACGTCAAACCTTCTAGCTCCATTCCTTCCCCTCGGGTCCTCTGTCCTCACCTCAAGTCCCAAAAACTGCTTGAGCATTGGGGATGGTTCTCTAGCAGGGGCCTCTCCTTTCCCTGAGCTACTACCAGCCTCCTTTCCATCACCTCCTGCTGTGGCCTTCACTGTTGCTCCTTTTTGTTTTGCTGCTCGACCTGCTCCCACTGCTCCTGCTGCTCCCACTGCTCCTGCTGCTCCCACTGCTCCTGCTGCTCCCACTGCTCCTGCTGCTCCCATTGCTCCTGCTGCTCCCACTTCTCCTGCTCCTCCCACTGCTCCTGCTGCTCCCGCTGCTTCTGCTGCCCCTGTTCCTGCCCCTGCTACTCTTGCTGTTTTTTTTGCTGCTCCTCTTCCTTTTCCTGCTGAGTCCTGCCCTGCTTCGTCCTGCTTAGACCTGTCCCCCTCACTACCAACAATCTGCATATGCTGCGATACAAGCTTTTGGAGGCCAAAGAAATGAGCCTCATCAACCCCAAAGAGGGTTCTCAGCTTGTCATCAAAGGCTGCTGAGTTGGGTCCAGCCTGAAGGTTGTTGGCTTTAATGTAGTTCCACACAAGGGTCGTTGCTTCGAGGATGCTCAGCTGCTCGTGCTGTGAGGATATGGAAGGGGAGGGAGGGAGGGAGGGAGGGAGGGAGGGAGGGAGGGAGGGAGGGAGGGAGGGAGGGAGGGAGGGAGGGAGGGAGGGAGGGAGGGAGGGAGGGAGGGAGGGAGGGAGGGAGGGAGGGAGGGAGGGAGGGAGGGAGGGAGGGAGGGAGGGAGGGAGGGAGGGAGGGAGGGAGGGAGGGAGGGAGGGAGGGAGGGAGGGAGGGAGGGAGGGAGGGAGGGAGGGAGGGAGGGAGGGAGGGAGGGAGGGAGGGAGGGAGGGAGGGAGGGAGGGAGGGAGGGAGGGAGGGAGGGAGGGAGGGAGGGAGGGAGGGAGGGAGGGAGGCAAGTAGCACAGGGAAGCCTCAGCTTGTCGTCAAACGCTGCTGAGTTGGGTCCGGCTTGAAGGTTGTTGGCCTTGATGTAGTTTTACACGAGGCTTGTTGCTTCAAGGATGCTCAGGTGCTCGCGCTGTAGGAGGGGAGGTCTGGAGAGGAGGGGAGAGGGGGAAAAGAGATGGGGAGAACTCCAGTTGCTCCGAGGTGACTTTTGAGTCGACTCAAAAGTCACCTTGTAGGAGGGGAGGTCTGGAGAGGAGGGGAGAGGGGGAAAAGAGATGGGGAGAACTCCAGTTGCTCCCTTGCATCCTTGAAATTCCTAGAATTTGGTACCAACCATGTTCAACCGATCTCAAACGATCTCAACCGTTCCCAACCATTCTCCACCCAAACTGCTCTCACTCTCCTTCCCAATGATCTCTTTCAGTTGCTCGGATGGCTGTCTAGGAAGCGGCCTTCCCAGAAGCCCGTCTGAGAAGGCCGGGTCAGACGCACCAGCTCAGTTGCTTCCTCGCCTAATAAAGGTTTCCTTACCAATTCCTATATTCCACACATACCAACCATTTTCAACTGCTTTGAATCGTTCTTAACCCAAACAACACCCATTCACCTCCTTCCCGATGATCTCCTTCAGTTGCTCAGACTGCCTTCTGGGAAGCTGCTTCCGCTGTGCAAGCTCCTTAATCAACCCTCCTCAACCGTTTTCAACCTAATTAAAATTCACTCACCTCCTTCCCAATGATCTCCTTCAGTTGCTCAGACGGCCTTCTGGGAAGCTGCTTCAGACGAATAAGCTCCGATCCTCCCTTGCTTGCTCTGACATAATTGCTCTGTTTCCCTACTTTAGCAGCTTCCTTGCCCAGTTTAGAAGCTTCCTTTTCCACTTGAGAAGCTTCCTTCCCTACTTGAGAAGCTTCCTTCACCACTTGAGCAGCTTCCTTCCCCGCTTCAGAAGCTTCCTTTCCCACTTTGGAAGCTTTCTTCCCCACGTGAGCAGCTTCCCTCCCCACTTCAGAAGCTTCCTTCACCACTTGAGAAACTTTCCTCCCCGCTTCAGCAACTTCCTGCATGTGTGGTAGCAGCAGCCCCGGCACTTTCGTGGAATGTGCCCCGTCAACCCCAAAGGGAGCCCCATCAGGGCTTTCAGCAATCAGAGCACCGTCAGAGCTCTCAACTTCCTTCATGTGCGGCAGCAGCAGCCCCGGCACTTTAGTGGAATGCGCCGAGTCAACCCCAAAGAGGGCCCTCAGCTTGTCGTCAAAGGCTGCTGTGCGGCTTCCCGTCTTGAGGTTGTGTGCTTTCACATAGTCCCACACTAGCCGTGTTGCTTCGAATATGCTCAGCTGCTCGTGCTGTGGGAGGGGAGGGGAGGGGAGAGGGGAGTGGGGAGGGGAGGGGGTGAGGAGGGGAGAGGGGAGTGGGGAGGGGAGGGGGTGGGGAGGGGAGAGGGGAGTGGGGAGGGGAGGGGGTGGGGAGGGGAGAGGGGAGTGGGGAGGGGAGGGGGAGGGGAGGGGAGAGAGGGAATGAGGCAAGTTGCACAGGGAGGGGAGGGGAGGAAAGTCAGTCCTCTACCATTCTCAACCGTTTTCAACCCAGATCAATCTCACTCACCTCCTTCCCAATGATCTCCTGTAGCTGTTCCAATGGCCTCCTGGGAAGGCGGTTCTGCTGGGGAAGCCATTCTCAACCACACTCTACCGTTCTCAACCCAACTCAATCTCTCTCACCTCCTTCCCAATGATCTCTTGTAGCTGTTCCAATGGCCTCCTGGGAAGGCGGTTCCGCCGTGCAAGCTCTGCTCCTCCTTGGCTTCCATCCCTGGCTTCCTTGTTGCACTGCTCCTACTCACCAACCCATCTCAACCACTCTCAACCGTTCTCAACGCACGCTCACCTCCTTCCCAACGATCTCATTTAGCTGTTCCGACGGCCTTTTGGAAAGCAGGTTCCGCAGTGCAGCTCCATTATCAACCCTCTTCAACCGTTCTCAACCGATTTCAACCCGAATCAATCCCTCTTACCTCCTTCCCAACGATCTCCTTTAGCTGTTCCGATGGCCTTCTGGAAAGCAGGTTCCGCCGTGCAGCTCCGCTCCTCCTTTGTGCCTTCCAGTTCTCGACCGCTCTTAACCGCTCTTGACCGTTATCTTTCCAAATTAATCTCACTCACCTCTTTCCCAATAACCTCGTTTAGCTGTTCCGATGGCCTTCTAGGAAGCAGGTTCCTCCGTGCAAGCTCTGCTCCTCCTTTACGCCCTCTGGTTCTCGACCATTCTCACCTCCTCCCCAACCCTTCTCAACCGTTCTCAGCCCACACTACAAACTCTCTCACCTCTTTCATCTGTTCCGATGGCCTCCTGGGAAGCCGGTTCCTCCGTGCAATCTCTCAACCACTCTCAACCGTTCTCAACCCGCACTCACCTCCTTCCCAATGATCTCCTTCAGCTGTTCCGATGGCCTTCTGGGAAGCCGGTTCCTCCGTGCAATCTCTGCTCCTCCAAGGCTTGCCAGAACTTTCATGCGCTGCTGCTCCGGCCGAAGCTTGACCTCTTGAGCTGTCTCCCCCTTCCCCCTCTCCCCCTCCTCAGTATCCCCTCGCTCCTGGTCCTCCTCCCCTCTTTCCCTGGCCGCTTTTCCCTCCTTTCCAGCCTCTTCTCCAGCCTCCACATCTGTTGTCACCTTGCTCCTCCCAACTGCCTTGCTTTCTTGCTTTCTAGGCCCTTTCAGCTTGCTTGTTTCTTGACCACGCTCCTTCCCTCCTTCCCTGGCCGATTCTCCCTCCTTTCCAGATCCCTCTTCAGCCTGAGCAACTTCCTTTCCCACTTCAGAAGCTTCCTTCCTCACTAGAGAAGCTTCCCTCCCCACTTCAGAAGCTTCCTTCCCCGCTTCAGCAACTTCCTGCATGTGCGGCAGCAGCAGCCCTGGCACTTTGGTGGAATGCGCCTCGTCAACTCCAAAGAGCTCCCTTAGCCTCTCGTCAAACGCTGCTGTGTTTTTTCCGGTCTTGAGATTATTGGCTTTCACAAAGTCCCACACTAGCCGTGCTGCTTCGAATATGCTCAGTTGCTCGTGCTGTGGGATGGGGGAGAGTTTCAGGAAGGAAGGGGAGTGGAGGAGAGGTAAGTGAGGAGTTTTTTACCTCAGCTTGCTGTTAGGAATCCTGAAAAATTTCTTCTCTCACGACCATGTTTCAGCACTATTCTCAACCATTCTTAACTGCTCTCAACAATTTTCAACCGCTCTTTATCCACACCACACAGACCTGCTTCCCGATTAGCCCCTTCAGCTATTCCCAACTGTTAGTTAATCCACACTCGCCTCCGTCTGCAAAGCCGCTAAGAACATGCAATATCTGCTCCTCTTGAGTCGACTCTTGAGTCAATTAAAAAGAAAGCCACTAAGAACATGCAAGCTCTGCTCCTCTTGAGTCGACTCAAAAGCGAACATGCAATCTCTGCTCCTCTTGAGTCGACTTTCGAGTCGACTTTTGAGTCGACTCAAAAGAAAGTCGTTATGAACGTGCAAGCTCTGCTCCTCTTGAGTCGACTCAAAAGCGAACGTGCAAGCTCTGCTCCTCTTGAGTCAACTCAAAAGCGAACGTGCAAGCTCTGCTCCTCTTGAGTCAACTCAAAAGCGAACGTGCAAGCTCTGCTCCTCTTGAGTCGACTCAAAAGCGAACGTTTTGAGTCGACTCCAAGCTCTGCTCCTCCATGCGTGGAGGAGCAGAGCTTGCACGTTCGATTTTGAGTCGCTTTAATAAGTCAGCTGCTCCTCAAAGCTCTGCTCCTCCATGCGTCCTCTCAATCGCTAGATTTATTCCACTGCTCCTGCTTAACCGTTTCGTTCCGTTCTCAACCCTCACTCACCTCCTTCCCAATGATGTCCTTCAGCTGTTCTGACGGCCTTCTTGGAAGCCGGTTCCGCTGGGGAAGCCATTCTCGACCACACTCTACTGTTCTCAACCCCCCGCTCACCTCCTTTCCAATGATCTACTTCAGCTGTTCCGACGGCCTTCTAAAAAGCCGGTTCGGACGAGCAAGCTCCATTATCAACCCTCTTCAACCGTTCTCAACCGATTTCAACCCGAATCAATACCTCTTACCTCCTTCCCAATGATCTCCTTCAGCTGTTCCGACGGCCTTCTAGGAAGTCGGTTCCGCCGTGCAACCTCTGCTCCTCCCTTGCTTCCTCTCCGTTCCTGCTGCTCCTCACGTGTAAACTCTTGAGCCGTTCCCCCCCTCCCCTCCCTCTCCTCCGCCTCCTTGCCCTTTTTCACTCTCACTGCCTTCCCTCCTGTCCCTGCGCCACCAGCTCCCATCCCGTCTCCTTTCACCTCCTCCTGCTGCAACAGCTCTCCCTTCTTGTCCCTCCCTGCATTCTTGCTCGCCTTTTTACCCGCCTCTTTGCTTGCTCTTTTTCTCGCCTCTTTGGTCGCCTCTTTCTCTCCCACTTTCCCAGCCTCTGTGCTTGTTTCTGCTGAGCCCGCCTTGCTCCCCTTGCCCGTCTTTGCAGCCTTGGCAGCCTTCTTTGCAGCGGCCCTCTCTGCCCGTGCCTGCTTCACCTGTAAGCGCTCGATGGCGCTCTCTAGAGTCACATCGTCTATACTCACGTTCTGGTGAGGGTGGCAGGGAGGAAGAGAGGGAGGGAAGGAAAGAGAGAAGGGAAGAAGGGGGGAAAAGGGCGGAAAGAAAGAAGAGAGAGAGAAGGGGATGGGAAGAAGGGAAGGAGGGAGCTTGAGTGTGTGAGGGTATGGAGTGGTCTCAGCAGCCTGCCTTTGCAGCCTTAGCAGCCTTCTTTGCAGCTGCCCTCTCTGCCCGTGCCTGCTTCACCTGTAAACGCTCGATTGCACTCTCTAGAGTCACATCGTCGATACTCACGTTCTGGTGACGAAGGGAGGGAGGGAAGAAAAACGGGAGATGAGAGGTTGGGTGTGAGGGTATAGATTGATCTCAGCATCCCTTCCTCCTCGCAGCAGCTTTTGAGTCGACTCAAAAGTCACCTCGTTTTGAGTCGACTAAAAAAACGGGAGAAGAGAGATTGGGAGTGAGGGTATAGAGTGATCTCAGCATAAAAGCCGAAGGGACCGTTGCAGAGCAGCACAGTACATGGTAAACGCCGTTACAGCAAGCAAGTCTATCTCTCACCGTGCCCAGAGATGCTCTGATGAGCCCGATGCTGGGGTGATCATGCTCCACATAGAAGCAAAAGGAGCCATCATGGAATCACAGTACATGGTAAGTAACTCTTTCTCTCACCGTGCCCAATGATGCTCTGATGAGCCCGATGCTGGGGTGATCATGCTCCACATAGAAGCAAAAGGAGCCATCATGGAATCACAGTACATGGTAAGTAACTCTTTCTCTCACCGTGCCCAATGTTGCTCTGATGAGTCGATTTTTGACTCGACTAAATAGTCGACTCATCACACGCCGATTCCGGGGTGATCATGCTCCACACAGAAGCAAAAGGAGCCATCATGGAATCACAGTACATGGTAAGTAACTATTTCTCTCACCGTGCCTAATGAAGCTCTGATGAGCCCAATTCCGGGGTAATCATGCTCTACACAGAAGCCAAAGGTACCGTTGCAGAGCAGAACAGTACAAGGTAAACGCTGTTACAGCAAGCAGGTCTCTCTCTCACCGTGCCCAGAGATGCTCTGATGAGCCCGATTCCGGGGTAATCATGCTCCACGTAAAAGCCAAAGGGACCGTTGCAGAGAAGCACGGTTCCCCCCTCTGGGTGTGGCCCCTGTGTATGTGAATGTGCAGGAAAGAAGGAGAGAGGGTAAAAGCACACGTTGAGTGGGATGAGAAAGAAGCGATTTAGAGAGTAAGAAGGCCAGAAGTTCACGTCGGCCTGAGTTTTGGAGAATTCTCAAAAACCAGCTCGTTGAGTGGGATGAGAAAGAAGCGATTTAGTTAGAGAGTAAGAAAGCAAGAAGTTCACGTCTGTCTGAGGGAGGGCAAGGAGAAGTATTTGGAGGCGCCTCAAAGTAAAAGCACACGTTGAGTGGTATGAGAAAGAAGCGATTTAGAGAGTAAGAAGGCAAGAAGTTCACGTCGGCCTGAGGGAGGGCAAGGAGAAGTTTTTGAGTCGACTCAAAAACAGAGAAAAAACATTTTAAAAAAGGTCGACTAAAAAACAGAGAAGTTCAAACAGGAAGAGTCACAACGGTCTGAGGGAGGGCAAGGAGAAAGATTGTTTCAGAGGGAGCAGCCGCGGCCGTGCAGTGAAGGAAGGGGGTGTGTTGTGCTATTGAGTCGACTCAAACAAAGGCAAGAGGTTCAGGAAGAGTCACGACGGCCTGAGGGAAGGGAGAAGGGAGGGCAAGGAGAAAGATTGTTTCAGAGGGAGCAGCCACGGCCGTGCAGTGAAGGAAGGGGTTTGTGTTGTGAGATATGTTGAGCAAAAGGCACCCCACAAGGCGACCGCAGGAATTTTTTGAGCATGCTTAAAAAATCCCTGCAACGCGAGGGAGCAGCCGCGGCAGTGCAGTGAAGGAAGGGGGTGTGTTTTGAGATGTGTTGAACAAAAGGCACTCCACAAGGCGACCCAAACAAGACTTACGATGGTCCGAGGAAATGCGAGAAGCTCAAGGGCCTTGGGAAGATCAACCGAGTCGGGATGCGTGCCCTGGGAGAAAGAGGAGGGGATAGGACAGGACAGGCAGGGAAGGCAGAGTGGGAGGGGCGCACACTAGAAGGTGAGGGCAGAGAACAAGCCTTGTGGGAAGGCGAGAAGCTCAAGGGCCTTGGGAAGGTCAACCGAGTCGGGATGCGTGCCCTGGGAGAAAGAGGAGGGGATAGGACAGGACAGGCAGGGAAGGCAGAGTGGGGGCCATGAGGGCAATAAGCAGAGGGGCTCGAGGGCCTTGGGAAGATCAACTGAGTCGGGATGGGTGCCCTGGGAGGGGAGGGGAAAGGACAGAGGAGGGAATAGGACAGGACAGGCAGGGAAGGTGGAGTGCTGTCAATGAGGACGAGAAGGTGAGAAGCTCAAGGGCCTTGGGAAGATCAACCGAGTCGGGATGGGTGCCCTGGGAGAAAGAGGAGGGGATAGGACAGGACAGGCAGGGAAGGCAGAGTGAGAGGCATGCTCATAAGAAGGTGCGTGGAATATTCTGGCATACTCTGACCGCCAGGATGCTCTGGAGACTCCGGTGTTTTGTAAGTTCTTATTCCGACAGGATGCTCTGGAGAGTTTATTCTGTGAGAGGCTCTGGGAGCCTCTCACTCTGCTGTGTGGCGATTATTCAGCATATGAGGGAGTTTTTGAGGCGCCTCAAAAACGACTCCTCCTGTGTGGCGATTGTTCAGCATATGAGGGAGCAGGACAGGTAAGGAAAGGTTGGTTGGGTAGGCACTTACCGGGGGCAGGGAGGCTCGGTTGACTTTGGAGACCTTGCCGTATGACGACCGTTCAACATAGGGGGGAGGGACGGGTAGGGGAAGGCTCAGGAGGTGGTATCTGGGGAAGGTTGGTTGGGTAGGCTCTTACTGGCGGCAAGGACGCTCTGTTGACTTTGGAGACCTTGCCGTATGACAAACGTTCAACATATGGGGGAGTAGGAAGGGTAGGCGTTACCTGGGGTAGGCTCTTACTGGCGGTAAGGACGCTCTGTTGACTTTGGAGACCTTGCCGTATGACGATCGCTCGAAGTATGCACCATAGGGACCCACTTTGAGCCAGATCTATGTGCGATACCTGAAGCTTGGGTGGGTGATACCTGGTGTAGTAAGGTTCTTACCGGCGGCAGGGATGCTCGGTTGACTTTGGAGACTTTGCCGTACGACGATCGCTCGACGTACGCACCATAGGGACCCACTTTAAGCCAGATCTGTGTGGTCAGGACAGGAAAGGAGGAGATGAAGAGCAGATGAAGGGGAGATGGAGGGGAGATGGAGAGATGAAGAGGCGACATGAACAGCAAAGAGATCACAAAACCTAACCCTGTTTGCTGTTATTGCAAATCTGAATTGAGGGCATCTCACTCAATCGCTACTCATCTTGGCCCATGTGCTTGGGTCCCCTCCCCCTTACAATGTGTGTCACAGGGTCGATCGATCCCCACAGCTAGGGTACGTACCATGTGTGTGTGTGTGAGAGAGCTATTTCACAAGTGGTGTGGGGATTCTCAACTCAAAACACTCGCCTTGGCCCCTGTGCTTGGGTCCGCCCCTCCCCTAGTATAGTATGTGCGCCACAGGCTGTTTTTTGAGAATTCTCAAAAACCAATTCTCAAAAACCAATTCTCAAAAACCAATTCTCAAAAACCAATTCTCAAAAACCAATTCTCAAAAACCAATTCTCAAAAACCAATTCTCAAAAACCAATTCTCAAAAAACCAATTCTCAAAAAACCAATTCTCAAAAAACCAATTCTCAAAAAACCAATTCTCAAAACTTTTCAAAAACCAGCTTGGGTCCGCCCCTCCCCTAGTATGTGCGCCACAAGGCCGATTGCCATGCCACTGCTAGAGTTCTGCTAGTCCCACCCTTCCCATATATCCCATGTCCCATCCCAACAGCTCACCTTAGCCCCTGTGCTTGGATCCGCCCCTAGTTTGTGAGCCACAGGGTCGATAGCCATGCCACTGCTAAAGTGCAGTGCTGTCAGCCCCACTGCTAAAGTGCAGTGCTGTTAGCCCCACTGCTAAAGTGCAGTGCTGTTAGCCCCACTGCTAAAGTGCAGTGCTGTCAGCCCCACTGCTAAAGTGCAGTGCTGTTAGCCCCACTGCTAAAGTGCAGTGCTGTTAGCCCCACTGCTAAAGTGCAGTGCTGTCAGCCCCACTGCTAAAGTGCAGTGCTGTTAGCCCCACTGCTAAAGTGCAGTGCTGTTAGCCCCACTGCTAAAGTGCAGTGCTGTCAGCCCCACTGCCCATGAAATCCCTCATTCCCATCTTCCTTCTCACCTCCCCCCACCAAGCACTCACCTTGGCCCCTGTGCTTGGGTCCTCCCCTATAATGTGTGCCACGGGGTCGATCGCCACAGCCAGAGAGCACGCCTTCGCCGCCTGCTCCACCACTAGAGTAGCCTTCCCCCACTAGAGCACTCACCTTGGCCCCTGTGCTGGGGTCCTCCCCTATTATGTGCGCCACAGGGTCGACTGCCACTGCTAGAGAGCTGGCAGTCCCATTGCCCATCCCATGCATCCCATGCTTCAAAGAGTGTTCACAAGGCTCACTAGTCACCTTGGCCCCTGTGCTTGGCTCCTCCCCTACTATGTGCGCCACAGGGTCGACTGCCACTGCTAGAGAGCTGGCAGTCCCATTGCCCATCCCATGCATCCCATGCTTCAAAGAGTGTTCACAAGGCTCACTAGTCACCTTGGCCCCTGTGCTTGGCTCCTCCCCTACTATGTGCGCCACAGGGTCGACTGCCACTGCTAGAGAGCTGGCAGTCCCATTGCCCATCCCATGCATCCCATGCTTCAAAGAGTGTTCACAAGGCGCACCACTCACCTTGGCCCCTGTGCTTGGCTCCTCCCCTACTATGTGCGCCACAGGGTCGACTGCCACTGCCAAAGCACTGTGTGTGTGTGTGAGGCAGGGGTACTAGAGGGTATCCCACTCATTCAATCGCTACTCACCTTGGCCCCTGTGCTTGGCTCCTCCCCTACTATGTGCGCCACAGGGTCGATTGCCACGGCTAGAGAGCAGTCACCACTCTCACCGTCCCACTCCGTATGTTCCCTGTCAAATCCCTCTTCCCTTCCCTTCTCACCTTGGCCCCTGTGCTGGGGTCCTCCCCTATTATGTGCGCCACTGGGTCAATAGCCACTGCCAGAGTGCTCTCATTCCCAACGCCCATCCCACGTCACACCTTCCTTCCTTCTTCTCAACTCCCTCTCCTCTTCCCTTCTCACCTTCGCCCCTGTGCTGGGGTCCTCCCCTATTATGTGCGCCACAGGGTCGATCACCACAGCCATGATCCACCCACCCCCACTTCCCATTCCCTCCCTCCCCCCTCTTCCCTTCTCACCTTAGCCCCTGTGCTTGGGTCCTCCCCTATAATGTGTGCCACTGGGTCGATTGCCACAGCTAGGGTACCCGCCTTCCCCTCCTGCTCCACCACTCGGGCTTTAAAGCTGCAGCAGGCAGGGGGGTGAGCAATCAAAGGGAGCGAAAAGAGTGGTGAGTTGTCTTTGGAGTCGACTCAAAAGTCGATGGCCACTGCTAGAGTACCCACCTTCCCCTCCTGCTCCACCACCCGTGCTTTAAAGCTGCAGACGGGGGAGGGTAGGGAAGGGTGCGATCAAACAGAGTGGCGAGTGTTCGCTTCACTCCACTCAATAGTCGATTGCCACAGCCAGAGTTCCTGCCTTCCCCTCCTGCTCCACCACCCGGGCTTTAAAGCTTCAAGCGGGATAGAAGAAAGCGGAAATAATGAGTGGCGCATTGCTGTATAGAGAAATGAAAGAGAAGAGAGCGCACGTGAGTTGCGCGCATAGATTAGGCGGGGGCATGGATCCGAGCAAAGCACATAGAGTGATAAGAGCAAAGCACATAGAAAACTCTTGACGTCTCAAAAGCGGTGTTGGTTTGTTGCTTGCTTGCCATATAGAGTGATAAGAACAGCGCAGGATGACTGAATCACAGAGCAGAGGAGATAGACCGAATCACAAAGCAGCTGACAAAGTGGTTCAGTACAGAAGAAGCGGCACCTTCGAGGATTTTCGAAGGTTTTTTTTTCTACACAGAGTTTGTGCATGAGAGCACAGCGAAAAAAGAAGAGTTTTGGGACATCTCAAAAAAGAAGAGTTTTGGGACATCTCAAAAAAGAAGAGTTTTGGGACATCTCAAAACTCTACACAGAGAGTTTGTGCTCTCATGCACAATCCTCCACATGCCAGTCAGTGCCACTATCCTCCGCCTGTCAGTGCCACTATCCTCCGCCTGTCAGTGCCACTATCCTCCGCCTGTCAGTGCCACTATCCTCCGCCTGTCAGTGCCACTATCCTCCGCCTGTCAGTGCCACTATCCTCCGCCTGTCAGTGCCACTATCCTCCGCCTGTCAGTGCCACTATCCTCCGCCAGTCAGTGCCACTATCCTCCGCCTGTCAGTGCCACTATCCTCCGCCTGTCAGTGCCACTATCCTCCGCCTGTCAGTGCCACTATCCTCCGCCTGTCAGTGCCACTATCCTCCGCCAGTCAGTGCCACTATCCTCCGCCTGTCAGTGCCACTATCCTCCGCCTGTCAGTGCCACTATCCTCCGCCTGTCAGTGCCACTATCCTCCGCCAGTCAGTGCCACTATCCTCCGCCTGTCAGTGCCACTATCCTCCGCCTGTCAGTGCCACTATCCTCCGCCTGTCAGTGCCACTATCCTCCGCCTGTCAGTGCCACTATCCTCCGCCAGTCAGTGCCACTATCCTCCGCCTGTCAGTGCCACTATCCTCCGCCTGTCAGTGCCACTATCCTCCGCCTGTCAGTGCCACTATCCTCCGCCTGTCAGTGCCACTATCCTCCGCCTGTCAGTGCCACTATCCTCCGCCTGTCAGTGCCACTATCCTCCGCCTGTCAGTGCCACTATCCTCCGCCTGTCAGTGCCACTATCCTCCGCCTGTCAGTGCCACTATCCTCCGCCTGTCAGTGCCACTATCCTCCGCCTGTCAGTGCCACTATCCTCCGCCAGTCAGTGCCACTATCCTCCGCCTGTCAGTGCCTGAGAGCACAGCGAAAAAAGGCACTGACTGGCATGTGGGATAGGCGGAGCAGGCCACAAAGAGAAAAACGACTTTTGAGGCGCCTCAAGAGCAACCCACAAAGGAATAAAGTGAAACGAAAGGCGGAGGATAGTGGCACTCACTGGCATGTGGGATAGGCGGAGCAGCCCACAAAGAGACCCACTCCTCGGCTTGAGAAGTTGTATTCCAGCTCTCCGCTGCCACAGCTGTGTGGTTTTGAAGCATGTGTATGGGGGAAGGGATGGATGGGGAGTGAGGCATGGTGTAGGCACACGACAAAGAGGCCCTTCCCGGCTGGACTCGCCGCTGTCACAGCTGAAAGAAGGGGAGAGGGGGGATTTGAGAAGGGTGGTGGGGTGTTTTCAGAAGTTAGGTTGGGTGCGGAGGAGTTGAGAGCTCCACGCCATGCCCTCACTGGAAAAGCTGTGTTGAAACTAGTTTCTGCCACAGCTGGGGGAAGGCGCGCGAGAGAAAAAATAACAATACCATTCACTTGCCTGTTCCTGTCACTGCACCTTAACAAAGAGGATATGTTCTTCTACACAGAGGAAAGGGAGGTGGCACAAGTGTGGGCACTAGAACGAGCTAAGTCTGGAGATCTGGGTCGAATCTAGTATTGTCGGAGACAAGAGGAAAGGGAGGTAGCATTAGTGTAGGGTGGAGAGGCTGGCTGGCAATGAGGGGAGCAGCATCGATGAGCATGGATACGAGTTACATTGTAAGAAGTGAGTTCTTGAGACGTCTCAAAAACTCACTTTATACACATGGATACCATCATACCAGTGTGTGTGTTACACTGTTTTGAGTTTCTTTTACACCTCTGCTTTTTACGCTGATTCAAATTGTCATTTCAAAGACTTCGCACCTTGGGCATGTCTTGGAGTGTGAGGCTGTTGACAACGACGATGCTGGTGATGGTGCTGGTGGTGATGGTGACGGTACATGTATTTTTTTAGCCGACTGTATTTCAATCTTCTCGCACCTTGGGCATGTCTTGGAGTGCGAGGCTGTTGACAACGTTGATGCTGGTGATGATGGTGACGATACATGCGTTTCAGCAAGGGCTGATGGCTCTGACGAAGGGGAGACTAAGGAGGCAGAGGAGGCAGAGGAGGAGGAGGAGGAGGCGGAAAGAGGAGGAGCGCGGGCTTTGGCCAGTACTTCAGAGTACGTCTCTGCTGCTTCCACCAGCAGCCCATCACCCAGGGTCACCTGCACTGCCGACCCCACCTGTACAGGCAGACACGGGCAGGAAGAGAGCACGTAAACAAGGAAGTGTTCAGCAATCGCTTTGGCCAGTACTTTTGAGTAGGTCTGTCCTGCTTCCACCAGCAGCCCATCACCCAGAGTCACCTGCACTGCCGACCCCACCTGTAAGGGCAGAGGCGATACAGAGGGTAAGGCATGGGGGGCAGGCTTTAGGACAGGCACTTGGGAGCACTTGGGAGGAGTAGGACTATGCTGCTTCCACCAGCAGCCCACCCATCTGCCAGGGTGACTTGTACCGCGGAACCGACCTGCCAAAGGAGTTACATGGTACGGAAGGAAGGGAGTAAGCTGTTCAGCAAAGGTTTTTTAGGTGCCTCAAAGTCTACCTGATAAAAGGGGGCTTTTGAGAGACGTCTCAAATACTCACTTTTATCACCTGTCGACCTGCCAAAGGAGTTACAAGGTCCGGAAGAAAGGGAGTAAGCTGTTCAACAAAGCATTTGCCATGTAGTGAGTCTATTTTTGAGTCGACTCAAAAATAGACTCACTACACAGGGAGTAGACGACTTTTGAGACGTCTCAAAACTCAAAAATAGACTCACTACACAGGGAGTAAGCTGTTCAGCAAAGCACTTGCCACGTACCTACTCCTCACCCCCCGCATCAAGTGGTCCTTCGTTGAGTGTGCGAGTCTGTTTTTGAGTCGACCCAAAAAAGTGGGCACATCACACGATCACACTGCTTGAACACGAAACATTTCACACTGGTTGTTTTAGTCCGTATCCTCCTCTCTCCCCTGCTAACTCCCTCCTACACCTCTCGCCCCTCCACCACTCACCGCTTGTGGAGACAGCTTGTGCATTTCCTCCACAATGCACCCTGCCAGTTCATGCCAGCTTCCGAACAAGGGCTGTTTCCACACGCCTCCACTTTTCTCTCCTCTCGCCTCTCCACCACTCACCGCTTGGGGAGACAGCTTGTGCATTTCTTCCACTCTCAGCTTACTACCAAATACTGGCAGCACTCTCCCTCTCCTCTAATCCCCTCTCCCCTCCTCTCGCCACTTCTCCAACACTCACCGCTTGCGGAGACAGCTTGTGCATTTCCTCCACTCTCGGTTGGAAGTCGGTCCAGAAGCTTCTGAGAACCTGCCGCCAGTCCTCCTCCCCTGCTGCCACGTCGTCAAACTGCAACGAATGGGAGGGTGGCATGGCAGGATAACAGGCTCGGGTTCGATGCAGCATTCACGTATGGCTCCATGTAGCGCTGTGGGCAAGGAGCACAACTTGGTAGGTGCTGCGGGGTGACTTTTGAGTCGACTCAAAAGGCAGCATTCACTTCACGTATGGCTCCATGTAGTGCTGTGGGCAAGGAGCACAACTCGATAGGTGCTGCGGGCAGTGCGGAAGGTAGTGCAAGGCAACGCAAGTAGTGGTGCCCTAATGACTTTTGAGTCGACTCCAAATGACTTTTGAGTCGACTCCAAATGACTTTTGAGTCGACTCCAAATGACTTTTGAGTCGACTCCAAATGACTTTTGAGTCGACTCCAAATGACTTTTGAGTCGACTCCAAATGACTTTTGAGTCGACTCAGCAGTGCGGAAGGTAGTGCAAGGCAACGCAAGTAGTGGTGCCCTAATGCAACACTCATCAGTGCAATACCTTGGATTCGAGCTGGGAAGGCATGCATTAATTTGTTTGTGTATCTCATTGCGTACCTTGGATTCGAGCTGGGCAGTGAATCCCGCATTCACGTATGGTTCCATGAAGTGGAGGAGAAAGGAGTGGAGGTAGTGCTGTGAGCAGGTAATGGTGTGGCCAGGGCAGGCAGTTCTCAAAGCAGGTATGTGCTCTGTCTCGCCTCAACTGTGCATTACCTTGGATTCGAGCTGGGCAGTGAATCCCGCATTCACGTATGGTTCCATGAAGTGGAGGAGAAACGCGTTGGCCTGCATGCATGCAGCATGGTTGGGCAACAAGGGGGGCAGACAGACAGACAGACAGACAGACAGACACAAACACGGGTATCATCAACACTGGATTCAAGAAGAGCAGTGAACCCCATATTCACGTACGGCTACAGGAGAAACGCGTTGGCCTGCAACAGCATGGACGTGCAGCACACACACACATCGATATAGGCTTGAGAAGCTGCTTCCACACACACACACACACACACATCGCTACAGGTTTGAGAAGGTGCTTCCACACACACACACGCACGCACGCGCGCACGCACGCACGCACGCACACACGCACGCACGCACGCGCGCGCACGCACGCACGCGCGTGCTCACACACACACACGCACGCACACACTACGTCTCTGTTAGGACACTCCTATTCTTCGTATCATGCATAGACTAGCAAGACTTGGTTACATATAAGCACCCAAGTTATCTTGGGTGTAGAACTAGGGTTTGCCCTAGTTGAGGGGTTGGGGTCAATCCAACCTTGGTCCAATATTGTGACCCCCCAATAATTGGGTTCCCCATTATTGAAGGTTCAGTAATTGTGCCCCCCCTACCACAATCATTGACCCCTCCAATAATTGGTGATCCCAACTTATTGGTGGGGGTCAATAATTGTGGCAAGGCCCCCAACTCAACTCATCCCTCTCAACTATGTAAACTCCCTTGTTCCTTAATGAAACCATCATTCAGAATTCTCACAGTCTCTTCTGCTCGACCATATTGCGCCATCTGTATCTGAAGCACATCAAAAGCAACTATCCACTAATGCCCCACCTCACCAAAGCTATATTGGTGCGACTTTTGCGAATTCTCAAAAGTCGCACCAATTATCCACCAATGTCCCACCTCACCGTGTGACATTATACTGAGTAGACTATTGAGTCGACTCAAAAACAAATGCCCCACCTCACCAAATCCGCCTGCGGCAGGTCTTTTGAGAGTGCTTTCACTCCCACCAACCACGTGATAAAAGTGATATTTTGACACGTCTCAAAATATCACTTTTATCACGTGGTCTTTTCAGAGTGCTTTCACTCACACCAACCACTCATCTCCAGGGCACCTCACTCACTCGCTTGCTCACTCACTCACTCACTCACCAGCCGTCCCCTTATTGTAGGATGTAATCTGCGAGAATCCAGCTCCACATACTTGCGTTCCTGGTGAGAAGGGAGGGAGGGGAAGGGGGAGGGGGAAGATGACTTTTGAGGCAGCTCAAAATGCAATCTGCGAGAATCCAGCTCCACGTACATGCGCTCCTGGTGAGGAGGGAGGGAGGGAGGGGGAGGGGAAGGGCGGAAAGGACGGAAGGGATGGAATGTGGTTGGTAAGGTACAAGGAGGGTCTTGAGCGTTGGGACATAGGTGGATAATTGCTTGCAATTGAGTCTGATTTTGAGTCGACTCAAAAGGACGGAAGGGGGTGAATGGGGTTGGTAAGGTACAAGGAGGATCTTGAGCGTTGGGGCATAGGTTGATGGTTGCTTTTGAGGTGCCTCGAGTTCAGAAGAAAGTCGCATTGCGACTAGAGGGAAGAAACTATTCCATCAGATCAGATGCACTGTGCGTGCGATGAGTCGACTAGAAAATCGACTCATCACACGCAGATGCATGTGTGCGCGTGCATGCGTGCGTGCATGGGAGCATATATGGATGTGCGATGTGTGGATACAATACAACTCACAAGCAGCGTCTTGAGCGTGGGAGCATAGGTTGATGGTCGGCCGATTCCCTCCGCCTCCATTTTCTTTATCTGAAAAGGACGTGGGAAACCATCCGAGTGGGAGGCTGAGTGTCACTCGGAAGTGGGAGAATCATTGGAACGGGTTTTGCGGCACCTCCGAGTTAGCCTTGACTCTTGATTCTTGAATATTGGTGGAGAGTCGGGCGAAGGGCTATTTGAGGTTGGCATTTTGCAGTGCACTGCAGGTTGCTTAGCTGACTCGAAATACATGTGACTTGTAAGGTCGGCCGTTGTAATGAACGCAACGCGGCACCTAGATGAAAGAAGATTGTGAGATTGAGCTCCCAAAGTTTTCAAAGCACCAGAAAATTAGCAGTCCACTTCTGATTTTTTCGATCTTACCAGAGCCTAGTTTTGAGGCGCCTCAAAACTTGAACTCCCAACATTTTCAAAGCATCCTAAATAGCAGTCCACCTCTAGTTTTCTTGGTCTTACCAGAGCTGCTTCGGAGTATCTCGGAGGGGGCCGCGTGAAGTGCTGACTAGGATCCACGGATTCGACCAATAGCCTGTCGCCAGGCTGGCAGGTTAGGAATGCGAAGCGGGCAAGGGAGAGGGAGGGAGTACCTCCGCCCTTGATTCACTGTGGTCAATCAGTTGTTGACTCACACTACGTTCCTACAGAGACACTGGGGGACTTAGGTGGTCTTTCTCTACATTCCCACAAAAATAAGGAAAATAGAATGCTGTGCTGTTACACTAGGTGATACTGAACAGACAATAGAGAGAGAAGCACTCGACCCACAAATGTGAGCTGTCATGTTTACCTGAAGGGCCATTATCTCTTGGAACACGTCTGACGTGGCAGCTGTGCTGTCAGCCTCTGCTGACATGGCATCGCCAGGTGGCGGTTCCGTGGTTATCCCTTCGGATAGGTCGGACAGGTAGCCCAGCGTCCTCGAATCCTGGAGGGGTGGGAGGAGTAGGAGAATGTGAGGCAGTAACACAAGTAGAATAAGAGAAGCGATGAGCAACTCACAATGTATGTGGCGACGTGATAAAAGTGATTTTTTTGGGACGCCTAAAAAAAACACACTTTTATCTTGAACAGCGAGAGGCGGAGGAGAGCCAGAAGGGGCGGCCGGGTTGAGAGAGGAAGACTCAGAGGCGAGAAGCCACTCACACTGTATGCGGCGAGAAAGCCCGGTCAGGTGATGGCAAAGGCGTTGGCTCGTAGGAGAGCCGGAGGAGAGGGCAGAAGGAGCGGCTGGGTCGAGAGCGGAAGCTCCAGATTCAGTAGTACCCACAGTAGTACCCACAGTAGTACCCACAGTAGTACCCACAGTAGTACCCACAGTAGTACCCACAGTAGTAGCCACAGTAGTAGCCACAGTAGTAGCCACAGTAGTAGCCACAGTAGTAGCCCCAGTAGTACCCACAGTAGTAGCCACAGTAGTAGCCCCAGTAGTACCCACAGTAGTACCCACAGTAGTACCCACAGTAGTACCCACAGTAGTACCCACAGTAGTAGCCCAGGCCACTCACACTGTATGCGGCGAGAAAGCCCGGCCAGGCGATTGCAAAGGCGTTGGCTCGTAGAAGAGCGGGAGGAGAGGCGGAAGGAGCAGCTGGGTCGAGAGCGGAAGCTCCAGAATCAGAAGGGATTTGTGAGGGGAAGGCGGAGAGCAGAGAGGGATCGAGGGGATACGCTGCAATGTCCACTGCCACCTGTGTGGGGGAGAAGAGAGAGAGTGGAATGGTAAAGCATGTTGTGTGAACAGGAATAGACAGCAGACAGGGGTCGAGTTGGTATGCTGCAATGTCCATTGCTATCTGTGGTGGGTGGGGGGGGGTTGGGGAGGGGGACGGAGGGAGAAGAGGGTTGGGAGAATAAGATAAGCAGAAGGGTCTTGAGAATGGAAGGCGGAGAGCAGAGAGGGGTCGAGGGGGTATGCTGCAATGTCCACTGCCACCTGTTGTAGGGAGGCAAGGAAGTGGAAGGAGGAGAGGCAGAAGGAGCGGCTGGGTCGAGAGAGAAAGACCGAGAGAGGGGTCGAGGGGATACGCTGCTATGTCCACTGCCACCTGTGGTGGGGAGAGGTGGGAGGGAGGGTGGGGAGGGAATGGAGGGAGAAGAGGGATGGGAGAAGATAACCAGAAGGGTCTTGAGTTAGGAAGGCGGAGGGCAGCGAGGGATCAGGGGGGTGTGCTGCAATGTCCACTCCACTGCACTGCTGCTACCTGTTTGGGGGGAGGTGGGGGGGAGTGGGAGGAATGAGGGAGAAGAGGGATGGGTGAAATAGGGGAGTGGGAGAAGCGGAAGGGTCTTGAGACGGGAAGGCGGAGGGCAGGGAGGGATCAGGGGGGGTGTGCTGCAATGTCCACTGCTGCTACCTGTGGGTGGTGAGAAGAGAGAGTGGAATGATAAAGCATGTCGTGTGAACGGGAATAGACATCAGGGAGGGATCAGGGGGGTGTGCTGCAATGTCCACTGCTGCTACCTGTTTGGGGGGAGGGGAGTGGAGGGAGATAGGGATGGGAGGAGAGGGTGAGGAGGGAGGAATGAGGAGCTGTTTTGAGTCAACTCCCAGTCATTGTGGCAGAATCTAGTTATGAAGCGCCTCAGAACCTGTTGCTGCTTATGAGGCAGCTCAGAAGGGGAGTGGAGGGAGAGAGGGATGGAAGGAGAGGGTGAGGAGGAGGGAGGAATGAGGAGCTGTTTTGAGTCAACTCCCAGTCATTGTGGCAGAATCTAGTTTTGAAGCGCCTCAGAACCTGTTGCTGCTTATGAGGCAACCAGGCACTCCCCTCCCCCCCACCGGCAGAAACAAGGTCTTTTGAGTCGTCTCAAAGTCATCAAGGTGGAAAGGAGATGCGATGGCAGCCTCACAGAGTAAATCAACTTCTGACTGGACTAGAAACTACCCTCTAAAAAAGAGGGTAGTTGGTGCACTCACCCTGTCGTAGACCGCGTTTGCCATCTGAGAGGCTGCGAATCGGGCCCAGACGAGAGCGTAGAGCTTCCATTGCTCCTCCGACAGGTCGGGCTTCACCAGAGCTGGTTAGGGGACAGGAAAGCAGGCAGCACAAGCAGGCAGAACGGACACACAAAGCCTTTAAGTCGGGCCCAGATGAGAGCATAGAGCTTCCACTGCTCCTCCGACGGGTCGGGTTAGACCAAAGCTGCGAGGGGAAAGGTGGGAGGAAGGAGGTTACGGGTTTCGAGAAGACACCTACCCCGTATTGTACCGCAATAAACGACAGAAAACTACAGAAAACGACAGAACACATAGAAGACGCCAGAAAACGCCTACTACCTACCTCGCAGTAGGTGTGGGTGAGTCGGTCTGATCGCCTCGTGGGCCTCCTGTGCGTTCCTCGCCTTGGAGGCAAACACACGGGGCAATCATGTCTTCACGCCAGACGAGAACAGGTACCACCTCTGAGTCCATCGGGAAAACACCTACCCACACCACACCACACCACACCACACAGTACCTGGCAGCAGGTGTGGATGAGTCGGTCTGATCGCCTCGTGTGCCTCCTGGGAGTTCCTCGCCTTGGAGGCAAACAAACACACGGGGTGATGGGGACCACACACACCAGATGGACGAGACACCACCTCGGAGGCTCTGAGTCCACCAGAAAACGCCCACCCCACATGGTACCTACCGGGCAGCAGGTGTGGGTTGGTACCTCCTGGGCGTTCCTCGCCTTGGAGGCAAACACACGGGGAGATGGCAACCACACACCCAATAGATACCACCTCTGCGGCTATTACAGACAGAAGATGAATACACCACATTGCACCTACCTGGCAGCAGGTGTGGATGAGTCGGTCTGATTGCTTCATGTGCCTCCTGGGCGTTCCTCGCCTTGGAGGCAAACACGCGGGGCGACGGAGAGACGAGTTTGCTGCCGTATTTCTGCTGCAGAAGGGAGCGCAGAGACGCCACCGCCGTTTGGGAAACCTGGAAGGGTGATGGGGAGAAGAGAGGAAAAAGAGAGTGATTGGATGGAACACACGATGAGACGGAGACACGAGCTTGCTGTTGTATTTCTGCTGCAGCAGGGAGCGTCACCGCGCCTCACCTCTTACCACCCCTCACCCCTCCCCATCCCTGACCTGAACGCTGTCTGTTCGCATGTAAGTGATCAGCCCAGTCACCACCCCTCCTCCTCCTCCCCACCACCACGCCTCACCATGCCTCACCTCTTACCACCCCTCTCCACCCCTCACCTGAACGCTGTCTGTGCGCATGTACGTGATCAGCCCAGTCACCATGCCTCCTCCGCCAGACCCCTTCCGCCCCGCCCCTTTAGAGGTGCCCGCGCCCTTCCCTTGCAGCACCCGAGAGGCTTCGGGGCCCAGTGCCACTCCCTCGTATAGCCGCTGGGCTACCTGGAATGGGGGGACGGGAAGCATCAGGGGTTCGGGGGGTGGACAAGCAGGGAGAAAATCAGGGTTGGTGAAGCAGGAAGCGAGGAGGATTGATTCCCTTTGCTTGCAGCACTCGGGAAGCCTCTGGAACCAGGGCCAGTCCTGTTGCGGGGACTGCTTTGAGTCGACTCAAAACACCTCTGGAACCAGGGCCAGTCGTGTTTTGAGTCGACTCAAAACCCACTCGGGAAGCCTCTGGAACCAGGGCCAGTCCTGTTGCGGGGACTGCGTGGTGAAGAGGAGAGAGGGGGACCGTCTGGTCTGCGAGCGATGCACTCCTTGCACCTGCAGCTCACTGCCCTCCACCAACACTGCTGTCGCCAACACCCTTCGAGACAGCCGCGAAATCCAATAACTGGGGCGGGGGTAAACCAGGGCAAGTGACCCATTGGCCGTTACCATACAGCACTCATCGACATGGTTCTGCTGGGGCTGAACCCCAGTTTCGAGGATGCCTCTTGCTGCAGTGAAGATGTGGTGAAGGGGGGAGAGGGGGAGCGCCTTGTTTGCGAGCGGTGCACTCCCTGCACCTGCAGCTCACTCCCCTCCACCAGTACTGCTGCTGCCGCGTCTAAAAAGGAGACAGCCTCAAAACTCACTTAGTGAGTGGGTAGGTAACTCAGGCGAAGAGAGCCACACACTCAGTCCCAAGCCAAGCCCCGACTCCCCACCACACACTCACCGCCATGGTTCTGCTGGGGCTGAACCCCAGTTTTGAGGATGCTTCCTGTTGCATGGACGATGTAGTGAAAGGGGGAGAAGGGGACCTTCTGGTCTGCGAGCGGTGCACTCCTTGCACCTGCAGCTCGAACCCTCACTGCAGGTAACCCAGGAGGCACTCAGTCACCACCACACACTCACCGACATGGTTCTGCTGGGGCTGAACCCCAGCTTGGACGAGGCTTCCTGCTGCATGGAGGAAGTAGTGAAAGGGGGAGAAGGGGACCTTCTGGTCTGCGAGCGGTGCACGCCTTGCACCTGCAGCTCACTGCCCTCCACCAGCATTCCTGCTGCCAGTGCTCTCTCTCCGTCCCTTATCCCACCCTCAACCTCTGCAGCTTCTGCTTCTTTTCCTTCTCCTTCTTTCCCTTGTTTCGCTTCTTTCACTTCTTTCGCTTCTTTCCCCTCTTTTGCTCGTCTCGCTCCTGCTCCTGCTCCTCCTCCTCCTGCTCCTGCTCCTGCTCCTACAGGCTCCCCGAAAAGATGAGTGAGTCTAGCTGGGAAGGACAGAGGTGCATCGCTCCCCTCTCCTGCTCCTGTTCCTTCCCCTCTTCCTCCTCCTTCTCCTCCTCCGTCTCTGCCTCTCCCTGCCAGCTTCCTTTCTGGAAGCCCTTTCGAGCTTCCAAGCACTGCACCCTTGGTGGTGCGACATGCTTGCACCATGGCACTAACAGTCCAGTACTCCTGCGCGTTAAACCCTGCCACCTCGCCCTCTCTCTCGCACACGAACCGCAACGCCACCGACTGAACACGCCCTGCGGATTTGCACCCAGGAAGCTTCCTCCAGAGCACAGGCGACAGGTTAAAGCCCATGAGAAAATCTAGCACCCTGCGGGCGAAGTATGCGTCGACTAGGGGTTGGGAGAGCAGGCGGGGGTGGGAGAGGGCTGAGAGGACAGCAGATGGGGTAATCTCGTGGAAGGTGGCTCGGTGGATGGTGAGATCGCAGCCGTTGGATCCGGCGGCTGGGAGGAGCCATTCATCGTTGGATGGAGAGAGGGGTTGAGAGGGAGAGAGGAGAGGCGAGAGCGTCAGTGAGGGCGTTTCTTGTGTCAGTGCTGGTGACGAGGATGGTGATAAAGATGTTTCTGACAGTGATGCATCGCTGCTTTTGCTGCTTCTTCTGCTGCTGCTGCTGCTGCTGCTGCTGCTGCTGCTGCTGCTGCTGCTGCTGCTGCTGCTGCTGCTGCTGCTGCTTTCCTTCAGCTCCTTTCTCACCTCCCCTAGTAGCTCCTCCCCCTCCAACCACCCATGCTCCCCCTCCTGCTGTTCACCATGCTCCCCATGCTCACCACGCTCCCCATCCTCCCCATGCTCCCCGCCGTGCTGCTTCAACCCTTCTCCTTGCATCTCACCCGGACCACCACCACCACCAGCGTCAATAGGCGGCCCTCCTAGGCCCTCCGACCCTTCTGCTTCGGGACTCGGGAGGCTCGACTCTGCAGCAGCAGCTCCACTGGAGAAGATATCGGATTCTTCCTCCCACCCCTCTGCACCTTGTAGAGCCGCTCCTCCTCCCTCCTCTGCTGCCTCCTGTGCCTCTGCTGCCAATTGCTGCTCTATAAGAACAGCCTGTTGGTGTCACGAGGGGAGGAGGAAACAAAACATTAACGAGGTAAAAAAAGAAAAAAAAGGAGAAAGAACATTGGGTGCAGGATGAGGGGTGAACGAATCATGAGAGGAAAGAAGAAGGGAATTGTATGGGTATAATGGAACTAATTTACGTCACAAGTAATACCTGTTGCACCATCCGCTCTCTCCGCTGCTCCTTCTCCCTCTGCTGCACCTCTGCTCTCCTCCTTGCCGCTGCAGCCCCCTTCAGCAGTTGGTATACATGCCACGCAATCGCCTCTCCCTCCCTGTCCGCATCTGTTGCCAATACCACTCCCTGTGATCTGCAGAGCGGGAGAAGAGGGGTAAATGAGGAGGGAGGAGGGGAGGTCTGAGCCAGCACCAGCTGCAGCAGACCCCTTGAGTAGTTGGTATACGTGCCACGCGATCTCCTCCCCCTCCCTGTCCGCGTCTGTAGCAAGCACAACGCCTTGGGACCTGCAGGAAGAGAAGAAAGGAGTAGCAAATGAGGAGGGAAGAGAGGAGGCCGGCCAATGCCAGCACCACCAGCGGCCAATGCCAGCACCACCAGCAGTAGCCAACCCCCTTGAGTAGTTGGTATACGTGCCACGCAATCGCCTCCCCCTCCCTGTCCGCATCTGTAGCCAACACGACTCCCTGTGACCTGCAGAGGGAGAGAGAAGAACAGGGAAGAAAGTCAGGAGAAGCAGCAGCAGCCACAATTAAGCAGGTGGTCGGTACACATGCCATGCAATCGCTTTTTGAGGCGCCTCAAAAGCAGGTGGTCGGTACACATGCCATGCAATCGCTTTTCCTTCCCTGTCCGCAACTTTTGAGGCGCCTCAAAAATTAAGCAGGTGGTCGGTACACATGCCATGCAATCGCTTTTCCTTCCCTGTCCGCAACTTTTGAGGCGCCTCAAAAATTAAGCAGGTGGTCGGTACACATGCCATGCAATCGCTTTTCCTTCCCTGTCCGCAACTTTTGAGGCGCCTCAAAAATTAAGCAGGTGGTCGGTACACATGCCATGCAATCGCTTTTCCTTCCCTGTCCGCAACTGCTGCCAATGCCACTCCTTGTGACACAGGTTCATGGTGACTGACAGGGAGGAGGGAGAAGGAGAAGGGAGAGGAGGGAAGAGCGCCAGCAGCAGCAGCAGCAGCAGCAGCAGCAGCAGCAGCAGAAGCAGCCCCCGTAAGCAGCTGATACACGTGCATGCCAGGCAATCACTTCACCCCCCGTCCGCATCAGTGGCAAGCACAACGGCTTGCCAGGCATATCCCACACGTGACCAAGCTGAGGACTCAGTTCCAGAAATACATACCTGAATGCAGCAAGAGCAATGGTTCGGAAGTGCGGCACAGCCTGGGCTGGGGCAGGATTCTCCAGTCGATGGCGAAATCAGCTTCAGGGAAGAGACTGAGGCTGAGGAGTCAATTCCCAATGCACAACACTCACCTGGATGCAGCAAGGGCAATGGCTCGGAAGTGCGGCACGGCCTGGGGCGGGATTCTCCAGTCGATGGCGAAATCAGCCTCTGGAGAAACAGCATCCACCTTGTTGGGCACATCCCTCACATGCCCATGCGTTGAGTCGCGTTGACTTGAGTTGACTTCTGTTGACCAACCTCCCAACACTCACCTGAACGCAGCTAGAGCAATGGCTCGGAAGTGCGGCACGGCCTGGGGCAAGATTCTCCAATCAATGGCAAAATCAGCTTCGGGCGAGACAGCATCCACCTTGTTAGGCACATCCCTCACATGCCCATGCGTTGAGTCGCGTTGACTTGAGTTGACTTCTGTTGACCAACCTCCCAACACTCACCTGAACGCAGCTAGAGCAATGGCTCGGAAGTGCGGCACGGCCTGGGGCAAGATTCTCCAATCAATGGCAAAATCAGCTTCGGGCGAGACAGCATCCACCTTGTTAGGCACATCCCTCACATGCCCATGCGTCGCCAGCACCGAAAACTCCCTCTTTCTCCCCCTCACTCCCCCTGTTCCTCCTGTTGTCCCTACGTCTCCTCCTGCTGTTACTCCCTCTGCCGCGCCTGCTATAACGAGGCTTAAAGGTGGCTCAGGATCAGAGGCAAAATGTTGTAAGTAACCCTGAATTGTGCGGGCTTTGGAGGGGGATTCCACCACCACCAGCCACCGCTCCACCTCCTCCCTTCTGCTCGCACGTTTAGCACCACCAACAGCAGTGGTGGCGGCAGTAGTGGTATAAACCGCATTCTCTCCCAGAGCAGTGTGAGTGAGAGACCTACTGCTTACTTCTGCTTCCGTTTCCTCTGCTGCTGCTCCTGAAACCGCTTCTTCTGCTGCTCCTGCTGCTGTTCCAGGCGTTGCTGCGTCAACTGCACCTGCTGGTTCAACCTTCTTACTCACTGCCTTCCTCTTTGTCCTCTTGCCCGTTGCCTTTCCCAAACCCTCCTCTGCTTTGGCTGTTTCTGCTCGAGCTGCTGTTTCTGCCGGTTCTGCTGCTGCTGCTGGCGTTGCAGCGCCCAGTACCGATTCACTCTTACTCTCATCCTTCCTCACTGCCTTTCTCCTCGGGCTCTTCACCTTCTCCTCTCCCCGGCCCTCGCCCTCCTCTTCCTCTTCTCCCTCCTTCCTTCCTTTTGAAGCCTTCTTCTTTCCCACAACCGCATCTGCTGACTCGGCAGCAGCTGCTGAATCTGCACCAGATGCTGACTCGGCAGCAGTTGCTGACTCAGCACGTATTGCAGAGCAGCACAGTAGCCTCGTGCTGCTGGTACCACCGCCGATCTTGGGTTTACTACCAGAGAAGCCATTCCTGTTAGTCACATTTGATACAATGCTGCTGCTGGGATGGCTACCGCTGCTGCTGTTGCTACCGCTGCTGCTGTAGCCACCGCTGCTGCTGCTGCTAGCGCCGATTCTGAATCCACTGCCAATGAATCCGTTGCTGCTGCAAGCACAAACCTTCGAGATACCGATGCTGCTGCCATTGACACTGCTGCCATTGACAATACTGCACCGACTAACGGTACCACTGCCAACGACGATACTGGAAATGGGATTGATCCTGCCGTTGCTAGTGCTAAAACGGCTAATAACGCTGCTCTTGGAGCTACTACTCAATCTATTACCGGGACTAATGCTGATGCTGACGCTGCTACTACTCAATGTACTAATTAATCTGCTGCTGCTGCTAACGCTGACGCTGCCACTACTCCGCACAGCAGCCGCCCCGCTCTCCCAGATCAGCATCAGCGCGTCGCGTCTGACTATCAAGCGGGTAACGCGCCTCGCATACGGGAAAAGAGCAGGCATCCCTCGATATAGCCGCTGCCGCTAGTGTCGCCGTCGCCGCTAGTGTTGCCCGCCGCTAGTGGTGCCGTTACCGCTGGAGTGTGACGCGAGAGTGTTGCTGTTACCACTAGCGTGTTGCTTACGGTTACTCGCTCCAGATCAACACGTGGCTGTCAAGCGATCAACGCGGCGCACAACCGGGGAACACCCTCGCGTCCACGTGGACATCCCTCTTTCCACGTGTCTACTCCCCTTCCACGTGTGTCCGGATCAGCGGGTGTACGGCGTGAATCACGCCGTGGCGGCAGGGAATGGTGCGTCACAAAGCGGTACAGTGCGGTGATTCGCAAGGTACTGTACGTTTCCGGGCGGTTCTGACCGTGAATCTCCTGTGAAGTCACGCCGCGAATGTACCGTCAGAACTCCCGCCAGGTCTCCCGACTTGCTCTATCGGTATCAATCCCGTTCATGCGCCGGATGCCACGGAAGGAAGCGCAGGCACTACCAAGGTCCGGGGGTTATCCGCGGTCTAACACATAAGGGGCAGATCATGCGGAATTCACGTGTATTACCCTCCTCGGTAAGAACGCCACGTTAGGTGTAAATTAAGGAACGATATGAATGTACAAGGAATACTTTTTTTAATGATAATGTGAGTATACACCGAGGGACAAGCATATACAAACAAAACGGTCGTAACCGTGCTTGAGGAGGCAGGAAAAACTAGTTCCTGCTCTAGAGGAAAAAGTTTTGGGTCTGATGGGTGGTGCCCTCCGATGAGACCAAATTGCAGCGAAACTGTTCGTCCACTTCCAATCCTTGCTATCCAGCATGTCCCGCTCTCCCAGACCATACTGATGCTTTTGCTTTCGCCACGTCACCCCAAATTTCCGGGTGTACAGCTTGGCGTGCTGTCGAAATGCGAACTCTATCTTCCTGAGGACCCGTTGCGTCCAAAATATGCTACCCCGAAAGACAGCATCGCACCGCTCGAGCCACAATTGGTGAAAGGCGATTGCCGTTAGCGTCAGCTCCGGAAAAGCAGAGCTGGTGCCAGTTTTCCGGAACAGTAAATCTCCCAGCGAGGATGTTAGCGTTAGCGTCTCGGTTTCAAGGCGATGACCTGCCCATTCTCCAGGATGGGCAAACCAGAGATTGAGTCAAGCGAGCGGGGAAGCACTGTTGGGAAGCCGAGCAGCCTTAGCCAATATGCAAGAATTGTGTTCAGCACATTTAGCGCCATCCTTGCGGGGGCGCTACCTCCTAATTCCTGGGACAGCACCTCCATGGTTTTTTGAACCAGGTCGCCATTTGAGTTCTGATCCAGCAGGTCCCCCAGACGCACTTTCCAAAGCCCCTGCGCCGCCATCTGCCCACCAAGCGGCGTAGTACCGTTTATCAGGAAGGCTTTGTTGAAAACGATTCTCTCCTGCAGAATCTCCTCTCTAGTCGCCGCCGCCGGCCGTGTACACAGCGGAGACTGGGTCAAGCTTTCGCATGTCTGTCTCCATCGCACACTCCGCCCCGTCCAGTGTTTCAGTATTCTTTCATGTGCCGTGAAAGTGTCTTCCCCCAACGGCAAATCCGCAGCCTGCTCCATGATGTATTTCTTGATGCTGTTTGACTCCGTGAGAAAGAGCCCCACCCGTCGTGCAGCCAAACAGGTGAGCACAAATTCAGGATCCCGCACTCCAATCCCTCCAGCCGCTCTTGTGGAATGAATCAGCACCTTGCTCCACAGCACGAAACCTTTGGCCGTCGAAGCCCTGTTACCCGATATGAAGCCTTGTAGTAACCGTGTGAGTTCTGCCCATACTTTTGCAGGTGGAGGGTAGACCTGCGCTTGAAACGCCACGATCGGAATGATGTAGCAGTTCACTACAGTCGCACGAGCCGATGTGGTGAGATACTTCAACTGCCGCTTTAACAGCTTCCCAGACATGTGCCCTAATGCCTTCTTCCACGTTGGCAGGCCACTTCCGGATGGCGATACCCATACCCCCAACAGTCGCTCAGCATCGTCTGCACCGGCCCATTTGAAGACTGAGTTCCCCCCTGTCGCACCGAGGTTTGCACCCAGTGGTAAGACCACCGACTTGCTTTTGTTAGTCGCCAGGCCGGAAACTTTTTTGAAGTTGTCTAACAGCATCTCTGCTTTAGTTATCTGCTCCGCTCCTTGCAGCGCTAGCGTTGTATCATCCGCGTACCCGAGGTACCCAAGCCGCTGCCCATCTTTGCTGAGCCCAAGCTCCTCCCTCTCCACCGCCTTAGCCAGGGGCTCTACTGCACACAGAAAGAGGTAGGGTGCCAGGGGACACCCTTGACAAACCCCGGAAATCACATCCAGTCCTTCTCCGAGCCACCCATTAACCAACAGCTTTGTTTTTGTGTCCCTGTGCAGCCCTTCGATCCAGTCCACGAAGCGGCTCGGGAACCCCATCCTCCTCAGTACTTGGAACAGATAGTCGCGAGATACCGAATCGAAGGCTTTTTGAAAATCGTCAAGAAGCAAATACCAGTCTTCATTGTCGTTTTTTTCCCGCATCAATCATATCCGCCACCAGCGCCACTGCATCAGACAGCCGTCTACCAGGTAGAAAACCACAGTGCTCACGCAAAAGGACTTGACGCAGCACCATTTTCATATGGTCAGCTATTACCCGTGCCAACACCTTGTAGGAGAAGTTTAACAAGGTGATCGGCCTGTAATTGTTGAGCTGATCCCGTTCTCCTTTCTTATGCTGCAGTATCGTAACCGCCTCTTTAATCTCCGCGGGAAGCGAGGCCGACTTCACGAAATCTCTCGCCATGGCCATGAAGCTCCCTCCCAGCAAATCCCAATGACCCTCAAAGAGCTCCTTTGGAAGTCCATCGCCCCCAGGTGATTTGTTTTTAGCCATTTTTCGCGAAAGCTTTCTTCACTTCCTGCTCTGTCCAATCCGCTACTAAGACCTCTGCCATTCCCTCCTCTAACCGTCTTGTTAGGGTCATGTTCCAGTCAGAGAAGTCAACTCGCCGGTCCTTTCCGAAGATGTTCTTGAAATATCTTGACGCCACATCCAGAATCGACTTGGAGCCAGACACCGAGACCCCTCCCTCGTTTAGCTCCGTGATCTGAGTGCGCGCTTTCCGCGCGCGAACCTTCGCCGAGAGGTGAGGTGACGCTATCTCCCCGGTCAACTCCTCTTTTAGTCTCGCTTGTAGAGTAACCTCTCTCGTCTCGCCGCCTGATACTCCTTCAATTGAAGCTCCTTCACCTCCAACAGTGCCCTTGTACGGTCGCAGGTTGGATCCCTCATTTGCTCCTGCTTCAGTGCTGATACGGCGTTAACCAGGTGTGCCAGAGTTGCCTTGACCCTCTTGCTTTCCTCCCTCGCGTACGACCTGAGACCGGCACCAAGCCGGGAGATCAGTACCTCAAAGCTGGTACCGTCGTCAACAGGAGTCCGTCGAACCGTTGCCTCAATGATCCTCCGCACCCCCGGCCTGTGTACCTTTGAAGCATGTAACCTCCAGACTCCCGATCCTGCGCAGATTTTCGAGTCAAGTCTGAAAGACACCTTAATCGCGAAGCCGTGGTCAGATATTGGCTCCTTCGGCATGTCATGTGAAGACATTGCAAGGTGAGTGAGAAGGGATTGTGAGACTTATGCTCGGTCTATGTGCGTGCTAGCTTGATGAGATCTATCGTAGAAGGTGTATTCTCTGGCTCGTGGATGCAAGGTGCGGATGGCGTCAGAAAGTTGGAAACTGGTGCATCGCAGAAAGAGATTTTCATTTTCAGAGGATGATCCTGAGCCTCAAGACCTATCTAACTTGGAATCTTCAGTCAGGTTCAAGTCTCCTATTATCAGTAAGTGGGAAGCTGGTGGGATCTGGTCAACAATCGGTCCTAGTGAGTCACGGAGAAAGGTGGATCTGGCTGGTGGGTTTGCTGGAAAATAGACCGCTAACAGTATGACTTCTAAGCCCGGACCTCTGACAGTTGTTCTAACTATGCGACCTGAGGAGTGAGCCAGTGAGTCATGGAAGGAGATGGATGGGCCCCGGCACACTACTGCTACTCCTCCAGCCGTCGTGCACGGGGAGGAAGTGATAACTGTGGTGGAATCTGAGGTAAGCGCTGTCCAGTAAAAGTGGTCTGCTTGGATTCTAGTATCTACAAGGATGGCGATGTCAGTGGTTGTTCTAATCCAGTCTGTCACACGGTTTTGCTTAGTCTTATTGCCTAGTCCGTTAACATTGAGGCTCGTGAAGGTGAGGTGGTTCTTAATAATAATTTATTCACCCACTTGCAGCCCCTGATCATCCACAGGCTGAGGTAAGAAACGACGCATGCAACATTGACTCCGAGACTCCAGCAGGCAGCAGCAATCAGGTGTTCGCCAGGGTCAGTCACACTCCGTAATCCTTGCGAATGACGGTGAGATTCATCCTGTCGAGAGAGGCTTTCGTGGCTGACCCAGGCTTCTCCAGCTGCTGCAGATGAGCGGCAACAGTGATATGATCGGCCTCCGACATGAAGCTCTTCCCCTTTGCTTTCCCGCACCCTGTCTGCGTGCAGATCCAGTCCTCCCTGCTGCTGCCGGTGGAGACAAAGGCAATGGCTGGATCGTGGAGGATGGGTAGCATCAGCGAGGATGCTTTCAGCGACGCGGCTGCGAAGATCGAGCGAAATATTAGCATGTGAGGTGACGAAGAAAGGAAGAAAGCAGCGGATAATCTGCACATTCCGTTTACCGTTAAGCCTGTGCACCTTCCCCAAGGTGAGATTCCATTTGCCTACGTTATTCTGACGCTCAGTGATAAAAAAGTCATGATACTTATCATGATGTTTGCCACCACAGAGCGTGCAGGATAAGGCGGGGTAATGGAGGAGAAGCTTCCTTGCACGGTCGGCAGGGTCCGCGACCGCGTGAATCCAACAGCTTGAGCCCAAGTGAGCGTAGACCAACGCCTTCACCACGTCAGTCTCCGCTCCAGTGACCGGATGAAGCACACGGTGAAGGCACGTGCACTGCTGGAACGCCGATTTCTGGGTGCTCTTCAATTTGTAAGTAGCCAGGCGATCATGAAGCATGTCTAGTTCGACAGCAGCGGAGACACTACGAATCATAACTTCAATGGCGAGCGGGTTCATCGCCTTCTCACGAGCGTAAGACAGATCCTCAGCATGCAGCCAATGAAGCGTGACCAGCTGACCCATATTCGCAAGTGGCTGATACACCACCTCCTTCTTCTGCACCCAAAGCGCATCAGATTCCTTGACGAAGGAGACTTGCAGGCGACAGAAACGCGTCTTGGCGACGTAAGCGGGAAGCAGTTCCTGAAACTTTGTTGTCGCTGCAGCTCCGTCGAATAAATCTGTGTACCATCCACGTTTGATTAGTGCCTTGACAGTCTCAATCACAGAGGAAACCTCCTTCTCAAGCATCATGGGAATCAGCAGGATGATAACTGAGTGCAACCGGGACGCAGCCTCCTTGTCCAAGTCGATGAGCATCTCGTCGTCAGAGTCTTCATCCATGCAACCATCCTCAGCCATGGCAGCCTTTTCAGCCACCGAAAGACCGGAACCGCCAGGTATGGAGATGTCAACACCTTTGAGCTTGGCAGTCACCGCAGGAATGTTGTCCTTAGTAACTTCCTTATCAGCATTGACACTTCCCGACTGCTGATCCATTGCAGGAAATCCAGCAGCACTAGGGGAAGCCATGGCGTCAGCAGCAGGTCGAGGGCGCTGACCCTTGGGCGGAGTGAGGACGTCAGCAGGATGAGACATAATGCAGGGAAGGTATCCAGGCAGTTGAAGCAAGGGCTGATAGCGGTTGTTGGCTGAAAAGACTTGTGCTGCCTGATGACTGAGCATGGCCTTAATATATAGTATTCCTGCTTTGCCAGGGTCACGCTGTTGATGCTGTTGATGTTGTAATTTAGAAAGTTTGCTTTCTTGCATGTAGCAATTGGCATCGTCTCATTTCAAATGGGTTTAGTACAATTGAAATCCAAGCAGCGTCATTACAATAATATGCCTCTATGTTATCAACGCTATCCTGCTTTCGAGGGGGGGTGGGTGGGAAGATCGGCTAAACCGTCTGAAATGAGAGACGTGGGTGGAGGGAAATGACCTCCAGCCCACGTTTTGTACTCCAAAACGGGCGTTTAGCGCGGCTCGACGCTGCCAAATCCTACATTACAGGCAGCTTCGCTTTCAAAATACATAATTTTAAAAAGCGTTACAGCTTTTGAAAATATACATATCTCGAGGGTAGCACCTCGGTGACTTCATGCTTAATAATAGGTGTAGATACACCATAAGTAGAAGTTGACAATAAGTAGGAATCGGCTGGATGGTGAACTTGCGAGCAACGCAACCTTGGGAATGCATGGCTGAGCCTGAATCTTATCGCCTGATAATTGGAGAGACCGAGGTCAGCATAAATAACCGGACTTCCATTTCGAATGTTAGAGACGAAACAGTTGAGTAGATCAGAACTCTGCGCGCATTGTAGCGAGCACGTTGAATTTGTCAAGCTCGGTAGAATCCATGGCCGCCTGAAGGCGGTGAAGGCGGAGAACATCGGAGAGCTTAGTCAAATGTCCATTTATGAACTACATCTGTACAAGGAATACTGAATACAGCCAATAAAGTGCTTGTCTACATTCAAATTTCTCTGTCGCACCAATCGAGGCCGTGAAAAGCGAACTGACAATCCTTTCCCCGACCATGAAGCGTTACAATACGGTTTCTAAAGAAATCACACTGGTACAGTGTGATATGCTGATGACTCGCCCTAACCCCAAACCTCGGGATTGCCTCATCTTTCTGACCACTTCCTTTCCCTCCCTCTCCTCCCTCTGCCTTCCTCCGTCTCCTCATATCTGCACTCTAGGTTTTCTCCTGATTCCTTCCATTCCCTTCTCGGAATCTCCAATTTTCCACAGAGCCTCGTTTGTACGCGACGAGTGCCGAATCACCTAACGTTAGTGTGTCTCCTGCGTCGCCGGAGATTTTTTTTGTTCAGATCTCGTTTCCTTCGTCTCGGTATATTTCGTCCACGATTTGAGCTGGTCCGAGGTCTTCATCCCACTCTCACGCACACTCTCCGTGCATCTCGAAAGTCGTTACTCCGCTGATTTAGGGTTACGCCATGGCTGACGACGAAAATGTTCCGATCGTCTCAGACGTGAGTGAATCCTCCTTAGTTTCTACCTTTAGTCCTCACGTATGAACGCATTTCCGACAGCTCTCCGATTCTAGAGAAGTACCATCGGCGTTATCTCTATCTGTGTTTGCCATTAGGTCGGGTTGTTCGATCAAACTATGGATAACTAACGACTGGTGTGTGTGCGTTTCCGTAATAAGCTGAAGTAGTCCATTCCTTTCGTTTCTTGGGTTCAGGCTGGGTCGTTTGATTTAAGCAAGAAGAAGAAGAAAAAGAAGAAGGATCGGTCTGCGGAAGAGGAAGCCGCTGACGTGGCAGAAGTCGCCACGAAGGTCGAAGACTTGTCAGGTAGGATCGATTCAGGTAAATTAAGATCGGTACGACTGAGATCATTAGCATGAGACCCCCGTTGGTTCGTCGATCTATGTCATTTATTCTGTTTGAGTACTTTTCCACCTCTGGTCACGTTCTTGTCAATACTTCCAACTTTTTATTTCTTCTAAGATTTCACGTTCGCAGTACTTTTCTTGTCGTTTCTCCCTTTTTTTTTCCCGATCCCCTTCCCAAGTGCAGTGGAAGACTCCGTTGAGCCTGTGGACTTCGGTGCGAAGAAGAAGAAGAAAAAGAAGCCGCAGGTAGGTCCGTTTTTTAGAATTCTCAGGAGTGGCTCAGGAAACGAAAATGCCTCCGGTAAGTCCGAGGCTATAAAACGTAGTAAAGATTTCGTAACTTTGTTCTGGAGCAAGAGGTAGTACCGACAGCTAGCGGGGAGAAGGGAGACAGCGGCGGCAGAGGGAGCAGCAGCATGGGAAGGGGTTGAATCCCTCATTCACATTTCCTGTTTTTGCAGGCTGACGGGGAGGCCGCAGAGGGGGAGAAGGAGAACGAGGCGGCGGAGGAGGGAGCGGCGGGGGAGGATGGGGAAGGATTGGAATTGAAGCTGGAGAAGAAGAAAAAGAAGAAGCCGGAGCAGCGCACGGAGGAGGAGGTGGTGGTGGCTTGAAACTCACTTTCTCTCATTCTTTTTCCTGTTATTACAGGCTGATGGGGAGGCCGCAGACGGCGAGAAGGAGAACGATGCTGCGGAGGAGGGAGCGGCGGGAGAGGAAGGGGAAGGACTGGAATTGAAGCTGGAGAAGAAGAAAAAGAAGAAGCCGAAGCAGCGCACGGAGGAGGAGGTGGTGGAGGCGGAGGAACACGCCAAGGCCGCTGAGGAGGACGAGGAGGAGGATGATGAGGAGGGCGCTGGGGAGGGGGAGGAGGATGAGGAGGCGGAGGGGATCGAGCTGGGAGGTCCCACGAAGCTTCCATGGGAGGGGACTGACCGGGATTACAAATATGAAGAGGTGAGTTGAGGTGTTTAGAGGTGGCGGGTAAGGGGGAAGGGTTGGGGGAAAGGGGGGTGAGGGGTGGCGGAGGCGGAGGAACACGCCAAGGCTGCTAAGGAGGACGAGGAGGAGGAGGACAAGGCGGGCGCGTGGGAGGTGAGGACGACGAGGAGGCGGAGGGGATTAAGCTGGGAGGGCCCATGAAGCTTCCGTGGGAGGGGACGGACCGGGACTACAAGTATGAAGAGGTGGGTGAAGGTGTTGCGAGGACGAGGTGAGACCGATAGTGTGGGATGGAGTGCGTATGTGAATGAGAATGGGAATGAGAATGGGATGGGATTGGGAATGGAAGTGGTATGGGAATGTGATTGGGAATGTGATTGGGAATGGGAGTGGGAATGGGAGTGGGAATGGGAGTGGAAATGGGAGTGGGAATGGGAGTGGGAATGGGTGTAGGAATGTGAATGGGAATGGGAATGGCACACGCGGAGGCCTCGATCTAGCTGCTGCAGGAGGGTCTGTATCAGGGTAAATGCCATACTGGAACGGAGGCCGTGCCGGCTTTTGAAAACTCTCAGAATTGGGACGGATGTCTTGCCAGCTGTCTGCCGTTCTGTCCTTCCCTTGCCCCCCTCCCTCCCCTCCCACGCCCCCACCATCGGCTCGTGAAACGTCCGTTCAACCTTTTTTAAAATAATCGACCCTGAGCTTCCTGAGAGATTTTGTGCTGCCACGCCTTTCCAGTTGGCTCCCTCCTCTTCTTTGTTCTTCCGTTTCTAATACCTGCCCTGCCCACTCACAGCTGCTGGGTCGTGTGTTCAACATCCTGAGGGAGAACAACCCTGAGCTGGCTGGAGACCGTCGCCGAACCATCATGCGCCCTCCCCAGGTGCGTAATACACGAGCCCTAAGTGGAGCTCCTCTCCTTTGGTGAGAGCACATTTTTTTTAGTCGACTCAAAAATAGGACCATCATGCGCCCTCCCCAGGTGCGTAATACACGAGCCCTAAGTGGATCTCCTCTCCTTTGGTGAGAGCAAACTCACACTGGTGTGATGTGATTTCCACTTATGCACCGAGCCTATGCACACACACCCAACGCCTATGACACACCAGCATGCATTACACACTACTATAGGAACGTGCAAGTTCCCGCATGCACACGCACATACACATAGCACAAAATGACATCTGGCATTCACCACTCGTCTGATCCCCATCGACCCGGCTCGTACTCATCGTCCCCGTCGTCTCTATCATCCCTCCTGCACATGCAGGTGCTGCGAGAAGGAACCAAGAAGACTGTTTTCGCCAACTTCATGGACCTCTGTAAAACGTGAGTATCAATCACATGCAACACCATTGTGTGCCTCCCCCCTCCCCCCACACCCAACCCCCTGCCTCACCCTTCCCTCCTCTCCTCCCACCCCCCCTTCCCTCCCTCCCTCCTCCCCTCCCCCCCCCCCCCCCCGAACCCGCAGCCACCTTGTCTTTCTCAATGCCCCCTACTGCATGCATCATCGTCATTATGGCCCCTTTTGTGCTTTTGTTAATATGCTGGTCGTTATCGTCAATCCGTCCTTATTATTTAGGTTATTATTTAGGCGCCTAAAAAATCTCTTCATTGACACACACTGCCCAGCATGCATCGAAAGGGGGAGCTGGGAACCAGCAGGTCTCAAACCTCCCCTTCATCACCATTCTTGACACCTTTTCACCTTATTGTACCCCTTTTCACAATTCTGTACCCCTCTTCACCGCGCCTAAATCCTTCCCAGCATGCATCGGCAGCCGGAGCACGTGATGGCATTCCTCTTGGCTGAGCTGGGAACCAGCGGGTCTCTTGATGGGCAGCAGCGGTTGATTGTGAAGGGACGTTTCGCGCCCAAGAATTTTGAGGGCATTCTGAGGCGATACGTCAGTAAGTGCTGCTGTAGCCTCCCATTTAGCTATTTGCAGAGATACCGAAAGGGATGATCCAATTCAGCTATTTGTTCTCTTAAATTATGCTTGTCTGGATTCCTAGCTCCCTTCCTCCCAAGGTCCTGTCTCCCCACTTCCCTCCTTGCTCCCTTGTTCCAACCCCCCAAATCCTGACCCTTTTTCTCCCACTGCCGCACCCTGTCACCAGATGAGTATGTGCTGTGCAATGGCTGCAAGTCACCAGACACCATTCTCTCCAAGGAGAACCGACTCTTCTTCCTGCGATGCGAACAGGTACACTTTTATATCTTTGCTGTAGGCTTGCTGTTTGGTGTAGTTTGTCCCGGATAAGCTCTTGAGACGTAACAAACGTTAAATAGACCCGAATCCTTATGGAAATCCTGTTCCCCTTCCTGCAGTGTGGTTCGCATCGTTCCGTTGCACACATGTTTCGTCCGGCAGGCTGGTTTGAGCCAAATCCCTTCCCCTCACTTCCCTTTACCGCCTCTCACTCACCCTGCTTTCTTGCTTGTTCCTCCCCACTCCCATCAGTGTGGCTCGCATCGTTCTGTCGCACCCATCAAGGCTGGTTTCGTGGCTCGCGTTGGCCGCCGCAAGGCCATCAAGGCCTGAGTGCATACTTGGTCTCTTGGGCAGCATGCTGTTACTAGTAGCTGGAAGCAGTTGTTTTCTCAAGGGTCAACAACAATCCTTGCCTCGATTTCTAAGGCGCCTAGAAGGGTGTGCTGTGCTGTGTTTTACTGGTGGGAAAGAGTACCGTCTTATCTCAAATGTCAAGCATTACAGCATGGCCCAATAATTGGGGATGTGGAGATTTTAGCACGTTGATGTGCTCTCACCCTCATTGCCAATCATAAGGTTTGAAATGTAGCATTTAAAAACATACAAGCTAGCCTGCCATACACATTTCCAGTTCTTCTAATCGATTCGCGAAGCACCTAGTATCGCGCCGAGGCGATGGAAAAACCCGAGTTGCCCGAAGAGCACGCATCGGAAAACCGTGTTGAAATCCCGCATTCGAAAATCCGTGCGGCATCTGGTGCTCTGCTCCACCAGGCTTTCTCCAGCTTTCCGCGTCGTGTGCTCAGTGGTCGCTCCTCCCACCTTTCTTTACCGCTCCATGCTCAATACCATCCAGTTATGAGTGCTTCTGTGGTTAGGCTCAGGAATTCCAGCCCCCATAACGTAATTCACGCGTATGTGGTGCCTGGGATTCGCACTATGCGCACCGCCGTCCACAGCTATAACTCCGTCATAAGCAGTTCCGTTACAAGCAGCCGCGTTAACGTCTGTAAGCCGCCTCATGCGTTGTGCCGAAAACCGGTTCATAAAGCACCTGAAGAGCTTTCGCGGGTTTGCCATTTCAAGCTTGGCAGCAATTTCTTGAAGGAGTTTGGGAATGGGAAAAACAATGTTGGTTACAGCAGGAGTGGCAGAAATGCCACTGTCGGAATCAGAGCTTTCAGTGGGAGGAGCAGCGAGAGTGAGAGATACGGCAGAAATGTCAGATATGTCAGCACTACACTCACCGCTGACCCTGGAAGCAACAGCAGAAGCAGCGGTAGCAGAAGCAGCAGCAGCAGCAGCAGCAGCAGCAGCGACAGTAGTGAGAGCAGCAAGCGTTTAGATGCTGGAACCACCATTACCAACATATTCCGCTTCAACCCAGGTAAGCAAATTTCATTAAAAAAAAATCCCAACTGCGACCCAAGAATTCTTAGGCTCATTTGGCTGCCCAACCGCTCTCCTCTCCTTTATCTCCTTGTTGAGCCTTGCCCCCAACTCCCTTGGTCCCTGGCTTGCCCCCAAGGGAAGCCAGGGACCACGTATGAGCTTCCCTTGTCCGCTCGCAAACTGTCTCTGGAATTTCCATGTGCGCTGCATTCCCACATGCACCAAATATGTCGGATTTCTTAAATCGCTTGCCATCCGACCCAACCCACCGTAACAAAAATCCACCTTTTCCAATCCCGAAAAGCGATTTTCCTGATAAACCCCCACATGTGCTGCGTTCCCACGTGCATCACAACACGCTTCGGCCCTACGTGTAGGGCCGAAGCATTTTCCATACACAACTGTCGCATTTCTGAAACCGCTTGGCATATGAAACATCCAGTCGGTTGTTTTTCCTCATGCCATTTCGACAAAACTTAGCCTCATACATGTTATTTCCCTGTCGCCCCGCCCTCCCTTGCTCCATGTTTCCACTCCCTTACTCCCTCTTCCCGTTTTCCTCTCTCAAGTTATCTCTTGAGTCGCTGCCTCTTCCCGTTTTCCTCTCTCAAATTATGTAGCCTTCGCCTCTCTGTTCGCCTGTGATCGCTACCTCGTCACCTGGCATGAGAACAAGCTGGCATACCGCCAAACTCTAACCGTCCCGCCTACCCATTCCTGTGCCGCTGCGCCTCCCCCCATTGCCCAGCCTTCGCCTCTCAGTTCGCCTGTGATCGCTACCTCGTCACCTGGCCTGCAAACTTCCCACAACCCACGCTAAGGAGCAGGCATGCATCTGCCTAGTTTCAGCTCTTACCGTCCCTCCTTCCCACCCCATCCCTTCGTTTCCCAGCCTTCGCCTCTCAGTTCGCCTGTGATCGCTACCTCGTCGCCTGGCCTGCAAACGTCACACACCAGCCCACGCTGGGGAGCAGGCTTGCATACCGCCTAACTTCCGCCCTAAGCGTCCCGTTTGTGTACGTTCCCAGTCACAACGCGCTGCTGTGTTTGCGAAAGGCAGATTCCTCCGAGCACTTAGGTAAGAGTCAGCAGCAGCACTTAGCTGAGAGTCAGCACTTAAGTGAGCTCCGGCTTCTGGATGAGTTAACTCCCGAGCTACAGGGAGTGGTTTCAGGACTGAAGTACTTAGGAAGGTCATATGAGACACAGAGTGTGGCTGGTGCTGAGGTGGGTGGAGATGTAACGGCTGCTGCAGAAGGGGATGTAACAGCAGCTTCAGGAGATGTAACGGGAGCTACAGCAGATGTAACAGGAGCTGCAGCAGCAGATGTAACCGGGGCTCCAGAAGTTGTAACAGGGGCTGCAGCAGATGTAACGGGGGCTGCAGCAGATGTAACGGGGGCTGCATCAAACGTAAGGCCATCTGCAGGAGATGTAACAGCTACTTCAGAAAAGGACAAAAACTGGGTTGTGAGCAGTGGTGACGTGGCGAGGCTGCTGTACCGCCAGGTGGAATTGGAATGCCAGCTGGCTGATGTGGGAGAAAGTGGTTACAGCATGGGCAACAGCAGTAATGGCAGCAGCGTATTGAATATCAACAGTGGCAGCAGCAGCAGCAGCATGGATGTGAACAAAATTCTGAAACCTGTTCCATCCTTCTCTGCAGTTTCTTTTTTCGGGCAGCCCGCTCTCGTTATAGACATCAGAAGCAGGCGCGGAGTCCCCTTGAAAGAAATCCTCGCTATAAGCTCACCCAGTAAGCTACTCGACGCCCTTGTGAAAACACCCTTCCGGTCCAAAGTTGCTACATTAATAGCATGGGAGCAGTTAGGTCAGAAATCCGGGCAGCTTTTTCAATGGCTCATGCGGGTTACTTCAACGGAGGAAATCCGAAAACGTTTCGAAGAGGCTGACCCGTCCACGGTTCTTTTCATCGCGGACGGTTTTCACTGGCTGCCTGAGTATCTGGAACTTGTCATCTGCCCGGAGAACGAGAAGTTTCTGAGAGATTTAGGGTTTGATATGGGCAGCGTGCGAATGGTAAGCTCCAAATCCATCTGTTCTCCTGAATCTCGACTCGCCCAGATTCAAGAGATTGCCTCTTCGCTGGTCAGTCAAAATTTCATCTGCCCGGAGCTGGTGACTGGCCCGGTTCTCAAGGCCGACGTAGACGGGCAGTCGAAAGAAGTGGGTGGAAAGGTTTTGCTACCCGTAGACGAGTCGGTCACAGTGATTCGGAAAGCCATCCATCGACACGGGATGTACCAAACTCCAGAAAACCCCCTTCAAATAGGTCTACTGTATGTGTCTCCCCCGGGTAAATTACCCTCCTTGTATGCTGACTCGGAGCAGTTTATAAAGGAGATGATGGGTCAGCTGCGTCAGCTGGGTGTAGCTAGTGCAGAGAGGACTCAAATGCGCAAGATAGTATGGGAACCTAGGAAAAGGACTTTGGAGCAAGAGAGATCGGAGGAGGGATTGGTGGAAGCAGTGGTGAAAAGAGGAGGGTTGTTGGGAGAAGGAGGGTTGAAGGGAGAAGAAGGGTTGAAGCAGCAGTTTTCAAATGGTGGTGAGGAGGAGTTGAGGCGGTTTATGGTTCAAGAGGTAAACATCTTGAAAGATGCAGGGGCGGAGTTTCTTGTCCTGGTGTGTGGTTTCGGGAAAGGCGTTGGGGAGCAGAGTTCGAATGCGGCTGGTGTTGTGTGGCGGGCACTGCAGTATGCGACTGGAGGGATAGTGGAGGATTTGACAAGAGAGCTGGACACATTTATCGACAACACCAGCACCAGTTTTAGCAGCAGCACCGGCAGCAGCAGCAGCGCAAGTAGCAGCAGCAGAAGCAGCAGCAACGCATCTACCATCTCCTCCCCTCTCCCATCCCACATGCTCACCCCAACCACCTTCGCCACTCCAAGCGATTCCCGCACCTACTTCACCTCCCTCCTCTCCTCCTCCGTGGAAAAAATCGCAGTCAAATCCGGCGCTCTACCCTACATTCTCTCCCCCGGATTCGGCGAACACACCGACTGCATAATCGGCATTTCAGCTAAAGGAGGAAGGTCTGCTCCTGCCCATGCTCCCTCCTCTCCTGCCTCTGCTCACTCCCTTCCTGAGTCTGGTGATTCTTCAGGGTCTTTGGATAGGGATGAGCCTTCTCGCTCCGTTCTGAATGGACTGGAGTGGGATGAGCCGGCAGTGATCTCATTTTTTGGGCCGAGAGGCGAGGTTCGGAGGGTTGTGCCTGTCCTTTGTCCTGTAGTAGGGGAGGCGGTAACTGCCGCGGCACTCGAAAGGGCGATAAGGGAGGAGGACGTGAGGGGGGGAAGGGTGGTGGTGATGCGGCATGGGCGATTTCAGGAGGGGGAGGTTGAGTGCGTTAGGAAGGTGTTGGGTAGGGTTGGGGCCCGGGGGACGTATGTGGAGGTTGGGGAGAGCGGGCGGTGCCGGTTGTTTCGAGCACTGCCTCCTTTCTCTGAGTCGATTCCATCTGTGACAACAGCAAGAGAACCAGCAGAAGCAGTAGTACCAGCACCATCAGCATCAGAAGCAGCACCAGCAGCAGCAGCAGCACCACCAGCAGCAGCAGCAGCAGCTGCAGCAGCGGGAGAAGACGTGTATTTCCCACTCAGCGCCACCAGTGCAGCGTTAGTAGCATCCTCCATAGCACGGGGCATGCCCCAACCCGTATCAGTGGACATTCGGGAAAACGACCTGGGGTTGTCACTACAGCAGGTGGTGACGGTGGTTGCTGGGATGAGGAGGGTGCAGCATGGGGCGTTGGGGAAGGCTAAGCTTCCTGGAGCGATCCACTGTGCGGACAGAAACGGGTTTCCGTAAAACACGCTGCAGCAGGTGGTGACGGTGGTTGCTGGGATGAGGAGGGTGCAGCATGGGGCGTTGGGGAAGGCTAAGCTTCCTGGAGCGATCCACTGTGCGGACAGAAACGGGTTTCCGTAAAACACGCTGCAGCAGGTGGTGACGGTGGTTGCTGGGATGAGGAGGGTGCAGCATGGGGCGTTGGGAAAGGCTAAGCTTCCTGGAGCGATCCACTGTGCGGACAGAAACGGGTTTCCGTAAAACACGCTGCAGCAGGTGGTGACAGTGGTGGCTGGGATGAGGAGGGTGCAGCATGGGGCGTTGGGAAAGGCTAAGCTTCCTGGAGCGATCCCCTGTACGGACAGAAACGGTTTCCCGTGAAACGCACTCTTGGAGGATTCAGGGGTCAGGGGGCATGGCCCAGCCCATCTCAGTGGAGATTCTGGACAATGACTTAGGGGGGCTGTCGCTGCAGCAAGTTGTGATGGTTGTGGCTGGGAGACAGAAGCGGTTTCCTGTGAAATGCTCTGTCAGGATTCAGGGGGCACGGTGCTTGCCCCAGCTCATCTCAGTGGAGATTCCAGACCATGACTTAGGGGGCTGTGGGCTGACTCTTAGTGGAGATCTGGGCCTAGCCTAACTCCTTTCGTATTCCAAGGGCATGGCGCATGCCCCAGCTCATCTCAGTGGAAATTCTGGACCATGACTTGGGGGGCTGACTCTTAGTGGAGATCTGGGCCTAACTCCTTTCGTATTCCAAGGGCACGGCGCATGCCCCAGCTCATCGCAGTGGAAATTTTGGACCATGACTTGGGGGGCTGACTCTTAGTGGAGATCTGGGCCTCACTCCTTTCGTATTCCAAGGGCAAGGCGCATGCCCCAGCCCATTTCAGTGGAGGCCCTGGAAAATGACTCAGGGTTGTCGCTGCAGCAGGTGGTGACAGTGGTGGCTGGGATGAGGAGAGTGCAGCATGGGACGCTGGGCTGGGGAAGGCGAAATCGCCAGGAGCAATCCACTGTATAAACAGAATGGTTTTTTCGTGAATTGCTGTGTCAGGATTCAGGGGGCACGGCGCATGCTCCAGCCCATCTCAGTGGAGATTCTGGACAATGACTTGCGGCTGTTGCTGCATCTGCCAGCTGGCTGGTGGTGACGGTGGTGGCTGGGATGAGGAGACTGCAGCATGGGGGCTTGGCAAGGCGAAACTGCCATGTGGGGGGGTTGACTGGACGAGGTGACTTTTGAGTCTACCCAAAAGCCAGCTGGTGGTGACGGTGGTGGCTGGGATGAGGAGACTGCAGCATGGGGGCTTGGGAAGGCGAAACTGCCAGGTGGGGGGGTTGACTGGACGTACAGGAGTGGCCCTGTGTGAAACATGAGATGATGCATCTCTAGTCATGTAAGTACAAGATAAAGATATGTCAATCATAAGACAAGAGGGTTCATTTCATGCAGATTATTAGCTCTGAAAGGGTAAGAGGTAGGAAGTTGGGGAAGGATCACGCTTGCATGGTTGCATGCACCTATTGTGTGAACAACAAGGACGTATAGGCTGTTTAAAATGAATATTTCATGTGTTCGTTTGACTTGGGTGGTGCATAATATGGTACACGTATTCTCTATTACCCAGGTTATGCAGGTGTAGGCACATCTTCATATAAGAGACAGTGTTTACCGTAACATGCCGTATTATTCATGGATTTGCTTTGTTGCAATTCTTAAACGATCTCTACATTCAAGAGCATGATTAACCGATAAGAATTTGAAGCATCTACATTTCGAGAATAAATATGCAGTTCATGGTGAGCATGCATCATATATTATAAGTAATTTGGTTTATTGTAGTAAGATTCTATAACCTTTCCTCTTCATAATCCTAAGCTGATACGGGTTGTAACACATCTGATCACCTTCTATCGGATCTCATCGGCCTCCTCTTCTCCCCCCATTCTCTCAACATCCCCTCTCTCTTCTCCTAATCTTACGAGCCACTGTCCCATCCAAGCGCCTCGGCTCCGTAGATCCTGTCACGCGTTTCCACACCTTGGTGTTACCGATTCATACGCTCATCGCAATTCAGATTATCGGCTCAGGCCGACTGCTTTTTTTTCTTTAATTTAGAAACCTAAGGCCTGACGATGGCGTACGATCGGTACACCCGCGGAACTCCCACTTTCGACGACCTAGATGATCGCGACGCGCCTTACGGCGATCCGACCGCGTCTTCCGACAACGACGGCGTTCCCGACGTCGTTAAGACGTTCGTCGCTTTTCTCTACCGTCACATTCGCGAGAACAATGTCTACGAGATCCACCAGATGTACGAGAACAGCTTCCACAAGTTATCGCAGCGACTCTTTAGCGAATCGCCGTGGCCCACGGCGGAGGCGATCGCGCCGGTGGTGGATCACGACCACGTGTTCTGCCTGCTGTATCGCGAGCTGTACTTCCGCCACGTGTTCGCGCGGCTCCAGCCGACGTTGGAGCAGCGGTGCGAGTCCTGGGAGAACTACTGCAGCCTGTTCCAGGTACGAAATTCTACGGTAATGCGATCCCATGGAGATTTGAACGGTAATTGTATCTTATTGTCATACTTCGACGAGTCTTGGGAGAACTGCAGCCTGTTCCAGTTAGAGATGTTAACGGAGATATTAACGGAAATAGGGATGAAAACATTTGATGTTCTGAGACGCTTGAGATACAGTACTTCCACTTTCACAATTTCTCGAAGAGCTGCTGCAGCCTGTTCGGAGTAGTGGATCCTAATGGAGTGTGATTGTTCGTTTTGTCGAAAAGTCCGAAAGAATGTATTCTTATTCGAGTCTTGAGAGAAATACTGCAGCCTATCCAGGTGGGGGGTTCAAACGAGGTTCAGTGGGGATTAAACGGAATTTAGATCTTATTTTGGGTTATTACACTAGGTTTGAGAGAACTACTGTAGTAGTCTATCCAAGAAGGGGAGTCTATTGACGTTTCAATGCTCATGCTAGTTGAGACATAGTTCAGAAAACTGAACGAAGATATACCTTACGTGATCTGGGAGTACTAGGTAGGGTTACGTTACGGGGATTGCGGAGACGTCCAAGGCGAGAGAACATCAGAACTCGAAGAATTACTGTAGGAGAACAGGGAGGTTGAGTGACTGTATTGGGTTCACTGTACTGATATTTGATCGTGCTAGAGCGGTTGTGGGATGCAGGGATGCACCCATTGGTGAGCGTTCAAGGTCCAAACATGACGTATGCACCAACTGCGAGATTCACTGCAGCCCTAAGTAAGGGGAGGACTTCAAACGAACACGAGAACGTAATTATGCTCGCTGTCTATGTTTCTGGGTCGCATTCGCGACCAGCATTCACTCGTTAAGGGTCAAAGGAGGGTGGATTGCGACAGTAAGGTGTATGATTCCACCCCCATATTCCTCCGTGAATCTAACCATTCTACCTTTTCCACCTCTCCCCCCTCCCCTCCCCCCGCGCGCTCCTTCCCATCCCTCCCCCCGCCCTCTCCCCCCTTTCCCACCCTTCCCCTGCGTGCCCAGGTGTTGCTGCTCGGCAATCTTAATATTCCCATACTCATTCTCCCTCCCATTTTCCCTCCCATTTTCCCTCCCATTCTCCCATACTCATTCTCCCTCTCATTCTCCCTCCCATTTTCCCTCCCATTCTCCCATACTCATTCTCCCTCCCATTCTCCCTCCCATTCTCCCATACCCATTCTCCCTCCCATTCTCCCTCCCATGCTCCCACCCATCCTCCTCCCCATTCCCCTGCCCATCCCTGACCGTTTAAACCCTGTCCCCCGGCGCGCGCAGGTGGTGCTGCTGGGCAATCTGAACGTGTAGCTGCCCAACGCGTGGCTGTGGGACGTGGTGGACGAGTTCATCAACCAGTTCCAGTCCTTCTGCTGCCAGCCTCTCAACCCCACTTGACCGTTGAATCCCTCCCTTCCAACCGTTTAAACCCTGTCCCCTGGTCCTTTCAGGTGGTGCTGCTGGAGAACCTCAACGTGCAGCTGCCCAACGCGTGGCTGTGGGACATGGTGGACGAGTTCATCTACCAGTTCCAGTCCTTCTGCTTCCAGCCTCTCAACCCCACTTGACCGTTTAAACCCTGTCCCCCCGCGCGCGCAGGTGGTGCTGCTGGGCAATCTGAACGTGCAGCTGCCCAACGCGTGGCTGTGGGACATGGTGGACGAGTTCATCTACCAATTCCAGTCCTTCTGCCACTTCCGGGCGCGAGTGAAGAGCCGTACGGACGAGGAGAATGCAGCACTCAAGCAGTGCGGCAATGTGAGTGCTCTGCTCTCTGCTCTCTGCTCTCTGGTCGTGCCTGGGGGGCTATAGGCATGGTGTAGACATGGTGGACGAGACGAGTTCATCTACCAGTTCCAGTCCTTCTGCCACTTCCGCGCGCGCGTCAAGAGCCGCACGGACGAGGAGAAGTAACGTGACAGAGCAATGTTCCTGGCCACCAAGAGGTATGACATGACGGGCGCGGGGGGCAGCAACGTGGAGCGCATGCTAGGGTACCTCTCTCTCTTCCCTCGCCCTCCTCCTCACCCTGTCTTCTACTCTTCTTTCCCCTGCCTCCCCCCCCCTTCTTCCCGCAGGTGTGGAATGTCTACGGAGTGCTCAACTACCTGCACGCCCTGGTCGCCCAGTCCAACATCCTGGCCATTCTCGACGACGACTCGGACGGAGGAGTAGCGGCTATGTTCCTGGTCGCCAAGTCCAACATCCTCGTTATCCTGGATGATGACTTTCTGTCCCTTCTCCGCCTGCCTCCTTCCTCCTGATTCCTCCCCCTCCCCAGGTGTGGAACGTGTATGGTGTCCTGAACTACCTGCACGCCCTGGTGGCGAAATCCAACATCCTGGCCACCCTTGGCGACGATTCAAGCCCAATCTCTTCCCTCACCTGCCCCCTTCCTCCTGTCTCCATCGCAACCCTTCCCCCCCAGGTGTGGAACGTGT